ATATATATATATATGTATTTCTTTTATTTGCGACGAAGAATAACTTCCTTTTTTTCTCGTTGGTAACAAAGAATTGAAATAACAAGCATGTTAGCTATCGTAAGCATGAAAGCCAAAACGTACTTGATTACAAATTTCTGAATGAAAATTCTTTCCTTGCGTAGACAATGAAAAGCTGAAACAAATTGAGCTTCGTAAGAATTAAAATACTAAAGCTAATATTTCACATCGATAAACACATAGTTCACATCAATATTATGTTTTAATTATACTTATACAGTTCAATAATAAAAACTTTATTCATAATGATTATAATAACTTTTCAGTCATAGTTCAAAGTTTTGAAATTTATCATTGTTTTTTTTTTAGCAAAGTTGTGAATCTTTAATATTAAGTCATGTATTTCAGTTCAAAATTTTTATTTCTATAACTTATTATTGACTAAAGAATTGAATTTTTTATGAAAGAATAAATTTTAATGATTATAATAATTTATTCATCACATTTCAAATTTGTTTAACTTAGTAGAGATCATAGTTTACAAAGCAAACTATAAAAGGTGGCATTTTAATTTTCAGGGATTGGGGAACGTCAGCGAAAAGGGGGTGAAGCCCACTAGTTAATTTATGTTTTTCTGTTATTTACTCTTTAATTTTCTGTACAGTGCAATAAATTACACATTTCTGTTTCATTCAATGCATGGTTAATCATTGGAAGAAGAAATATTTTGAGTTTATTTGAATCAGTTACTCTCAGAAAAATGTATTTCATAAATCAAACGAAGCTGTATTTTTTTTTAAATTCAGAATTTGGAATTTAGTTTTAATGTAAAATAACGAATATAAGTGTATAACAACAGTAAGTTCTACAGTTTTTGAAGTAATTAAAATAAAAACAATAAATGAAGTTCTTTAGTGTTTCTGAACTAAAGTAATTATATGCTTCTTGCTAAATTTTACAGACAACAGCGGTTTTTTGAAAAAAGCGTCATAGTTATCGAAGACAAATTTTATTCATGTGTTTGCAATGTTACATTCGCTGTATCATTCTCATTTACAAAAATGCAATATAGTAATAATGACAATAATAATTTTCGAAAGCTTTACAGAGCTGTTTCCATATTGAGAATTAAATGAGGTAACTTAGAGAGAGCATTTTTGTGTCAAATTTGAGAAAAGTTGGCATTATTTTTAATAAAAATAATTTTATTTAATTAATAAAAACAAAAAAATTTAGTAGTATTTTTATCAAGTATGCTGGATACTCATTGGCAAAAAATTGAGAGTGATAGAAAAAACATGAATTTTTTGCCAGACAATGCATCGGTGAAGAACCATAAGCACGTGTCCGTTATTCTCACATGAAAGGGCAAAATACCAAATGAATAGAGGAGGTACTAAATTAATGTGACGTAAATTAAATTAGGTGTGCCGCTTACTACATCACAGCGTGTAATAGTTCCGCTCTTGTTATAAGTCGACGTCGATATTAGACAGCATCGAAGTCGAAGGTAAGTTATATGTCTTCTTTTTAAAACAAAACACTTGCCTTAGGACCTACTAAACACACATAACACATGCTACACCTACTTAGGATTTAAACACCTATGTCCTCAATGAATAACATTTACAAGAGTTTTAAAATGTGTCTGTCTATTCCCTTGTGCAGATCTAGTGTGTATTCAACAGTGACAAAAAAAGTGCAAATGCAAAAAAATTATTTATAAAGTTGAAAAAAAAAATTTTTTTTCTCTCATACAGAGGAGTATTTTTTATATCCCATCCGCAATATTAGTAATTTCTCATCTGTGAGAATAGCCGTTTATTAATTGCTTTCACCTAATACGGTTTAATAACCTGAATTTTATCTTACAGCTATGCCCGCCAAATGAGGCCACTTAGTTTCTTGCAGCTGGGTACATGTTATAGCCGAGTGGGCTAATCAGTCAATCTCATGACCGTCAGAATGGGGCTTCGAGTCTCAGCGTTGAAACCGCAAATTTTCAATCATTCCCTTCATGAAAATGTTTCAGTGCAATTATACTGACTCTTCAATGGATGATGTTTCTCTATTATGAATAGAGGATTATGCCAATTTGTATAGAATGTACAGTTAGAAAATGTACGTGTACTTATAATAAATTGAAGTTAGTTAAAGACGCTTTACGCTGGTTTCGTCCTAGAAGACGCTGTACAATGTATAGTGCGCAAAAAAAAGTAAAAAAAGAAATATCTTGTATAATTTTTGAACTAATAATTGGAGTTTTGCGTACCAGGATTCAATCTTAATGGTTCTAGAGGGTGACCTCAAATATGCAGTTTTTGTGCAGATGATATTTTCAATTTGGAAATCAGACACAAAAATATGTTCAGAATTAACATATTTTCTGAATAAACATAAATTTTTTCCCCATCGGGTTATGATTTTGACCAGAAAAATATAAGGATAGCCGCAATAAGAAAAATAATAGTTTTTTTTTCAGCAGACCTGTCGAAAGTTTGGACTCCATAATATTAATTTACTTTTTGAGAATTTTTCAATGTCTCAAGAAAGTTTTACGCGAATTGAAAACTGTTTGATCACAATTATGGAATTCGTTTGTCCAAAGATAATTTCCCTTCAAAAAATAGTGAAATCCATTCATTTATTTATTTGCGCACTGTACTTGATTGCAAACATTAAGTACTTTACTCTATATAAATTATTACAGAAGGACTATTTGACACAATCATTTGGTAATAGTTTTTTTTACAACTGCGTACAGCGTGCAGTCTCATTATTCGGCACCCTTTGCTAATATTCCTGGCAGTTGTGACTAACGTCATCTGCTGGCATATATTGGAACTAATTTCTCAAACTATGTACAGAAATCTGACAGCTTTTTCCATTAATATATCAGTAGCGTAGCCAGATCATCTGTGGTTTGTTACAAAATTAATCATTTTAATTTTAAGAAAAATTTAATACAGCATTTAATCAGGAAAAAGAAAATTGATTTTAAATATAATTATCACTAAATATCTATAAATCACTATGCATAAATTAAGAATTATTAACAATGCACGAAAATCTCAATTATTTTCGATTTAGGTATTCGAAGTTTTTAACTTAATCTTAATAGTTCAAGTATCTGATCTCGAATGTTAATTAACATGAGCAGACGATATTTCGAGTTACAAAATTAGATAAGAAAAAACACTTCCCTTTAAATTATTTTATTTAAAATTATTCTTTCAAAGAGATTTCATGTAAAATTAAATCCAAAAATTGTGGAGGCTCAGGGAACAAAGCTCTCTCCTCCCAATGAGGTGGCCCAGATGCTAATCCCAGCGATTGATGATCTATACGAATTCCTCACTCGACTCGAACTGACCGCTGAGCTAAAGTAAAATATCATGAGTGGTAGAAGAAAGATAGATTGCAATCCGACTAATCGCTGGAGATTTCGTGTTTTTTTTCTCTATATAACGCAAATGCTGGCCAGTTCCATCAAAAATTACTCTACAGCGGCAAGATTCTCCCGATGCTTGACCCGAGAGGTTTTCTTGTCTTCTAGGTTTGGTTCAAGGCATAGTTGAAGTTTGTTGGTCGTAAACTCAAAAATTTGGTCTACTGTACAACGATGGTTTTAAAATAAAATAAAATTAGGTAATCAGGGACACAATATTAAATAAAAAATTCCAAGAAGTTGGGCCGGGATAGCCAGGCCACCGAAGACTCTCCGTGTAGTAAATGGTGAAAGGTGCAAGCTAAATCTGCGGGTAACAAAATCCTCCATGTTCCCATAACAAATCAAAACCACTGGAGGTACTGAATAGTAGATGGATCGTTCTCTGGTTCAGGTCGAAATTATAGTCTGTGGATGAAGGAATGGATGTATGAATGGGTCCGCTCTGTAAACGGGTGTGACGTATGGGTGCGTTAGAAGTTGAATTCTTGGCCATAGATGGCGACACTGGAAAACAAGAAAAATCGCACTCTCTCTGCCTTAATAACAGACGAAAATACCGACGACGAAGACAATAACCCAGAAACTGAAACGGTAAGATACATATTACCTAATTAACATATTTTACCTGATTAAAATATAACCTAATATTTGAAGCGAATGAGGTTCTTAACCAGGTAATATGGACAACACAGAAGTTTCAAATGTGTATATGCTTTAAAAAACTCGGTTCCTTAAATATGAATTTCAAATTTGGCTTATTAGGCCATATTTCTGGAATTGCTTAGGCAATTTAAAAGTTACGAAGCTCGTTAACCCACAATAATTTCGTGAGAAACATTAAGATTTTCGGTTGCTTATTATTTTATTTAATAATGGTAATATCTTTTTAATTGGGTATTTGTTTTTCGCCAGATCTAATAATATTTGATAAATTAAAACAATAGGCAAAAATGATTAAAAGAAAGGCTGCAATTATTACTTCAGTGTTAGCAGTCAAATACTAAATACTTAATTTCTTCATATCTTTTAATATATATTTTTTGTCGCGTTTCCACTAAAAAAAAGATACTGAAATGAATTATTTGCCTTATCTCAGACCAATTTTATAAAAGTTTCTTTTTTATCATTGCATGTCACGGCAGAATTATCAGCAGTGTGATATTATGCGATTATTTGCACTTTAAATGACTACAAATCATAAGGCGTTAAATACAAACAAATGTAATTGTTTTTTTTTAGGATTGAATATTAAGAGGTAAGGGATTTACACTCTTTAATGAAATCATTTAAACTTTTAGTTAAGATTACTAGACTATTGTATCTCGTTTAAAGTTGTATTCAAATAACATTAAAACTTTATTCTGTAAAATGAAATTATTATTTTTTATTTGTTTCAAAATATTATTTTTCCTGACTTTTAATAAATTTCTGCTAGAATCGAAACCTTTTATTCAAGTTCATAATTTCTTAACAGGTAGAACCTTCGTTCATACTGAAAAAATGTTAAAGAAAGCTATTAATAAAATGGTTCAATACATGCATTATATTAAGGGGATTTCCCTTAAAAATTCAATAAAGCATTATCGCAAGATAATTCTTGTTATTGATTTGTGCACTGAAAAAGAAGTATAATCTGGTATGATAGAAGTATAATATGGTATATATGGTAGAAAAAAAAAGCATAATATGTACTAGAATATGGTCGAAATTATCCTGTTGCTGGCTCTATGGGAACGCCAAAGAGCTCAATAATTTTTAACGAAACTCTCTGGTAATGAGTTTGGTAAAATAATTAACAATAAAAAAAGATTTAATTGTGCAGGATAAATTTTGGTAAATATGTTATTTTTATATTGATATCTTAGAGCATGGCATAAGTACCTTTTATTCAGTTAAATTTACTTTTCATTTAGTATTTTATACTATATGTGTGAAAATAGGAACTATAATTTGGAAGACCGAAACTTCCGGTAAATAAGGGGGGCACACTTTTTGTTTTTACAAAACTGTTTTTCTATTTTGAGTTTCATGCACAAATTTATATATAAGTATACATACATATAAAAATAAGTATGCAAATATAAATAAAACTTAAAATAAATGGACAGTTTTCTGAATAAAAAAAGTGTGCCTCGCTTCACGCAATATACAATTATTTTCAATGAAACTTTTAATATTCACGTGATTGATAAAAAAAACTTAGAAATAGATAATTTCACATTTAGGCATGTCTATTCTGCATAAATTTGATCAGAAAAATAAATTTTTTTATTTTTAGAATTTTGAAAGTTTTGATCAACTACCGGAATGAATGATTTTGAATTACCAAGTTATAATACAGCTGTGTCAGGTACGCTTCAGAGCTTTTTTTCGATGTTTTTATTATTATTATTAAAATATTTTCATTCAACAACTTGTAGATTTTCACTAAAGTCGTTACTGGGAATAACAGAATCAAAAATTTATATTTATGGTGCCAGAAATAGTATATTATAGCCAAAATTACAGCAATGAGGCAATAAAAAGTAATCCACGCCATAATAATAAAAGAAATAATAATCCATTTAATAACTGGAAGGCTTTCACTAAAGTCGTTGTTGGTAATAATAGGATCAAATACTTATTTTCAAGACGCCATTAAAACAGTGAAGAAAAATTTAAAATGATGAGGCAATAAAAAGTCATAATGGAATTATGAATTGGAGGCATAAAATTATGAATCGGATCGAATAATGAAAATATGAATTTCTGTCTTCGTTTGTATATCTACGGAGCATTGAATTTGGGGTTCCATACCCAGTGTCAGCTTCAGATCGATGGGTATTGGTTGCCTGAGAAGTACAGGCGGTCGATGCGTAATGCGGACTACATTGCCTCCTTTCTTCGATATATTTCCATCTGCAAGCCTTAACGTATCGGTTGTAGTACGTTTCGATACGTATTGATTGTAAACAAAGAAAAGCTTACAGCTACAAAGTTTATCATAAAAATGTATCTCGATCTGAAGTTATGTAACTTGAAGTTCAAGTTTTAAATTTTTCATAAGAATATATTTTATACATTTCTTATTTAGATTTCGCTAATGAAGTAACATTAGACTTGTTGTAATATAAATGCAAATTGTTTTAAGTTTAAATTGCTTAAAACTGATATAGCTCTATATTTTAGATACTCATCATTTATTTATTTAAATAATTCATTTCTTTCTTTTAAATCATTTTTAATAATTCAATTGTTTTAATTTTTAATATCTTTAGTGATAAATATTTATACAATTGCTGGATTTACAAAAACATTTGTCGTAAAATAATGCAGGATATAAACAACGGCCAACATAAAGGATAAAAACTTAAATACAACTGTAAGATATAACAATATCTACTTCTCTACGATCTACTCTAAGATATAATAATATCGATTACTATATGAGCTGCTCTTAGATATAATAATATCTACTACCCTATGATCTACTTTAAGATATAATTTTATCTACTGCAATATGACCTACTCTAATATATAATAATATCTACTATTATATGATCAACTCTAAGATATAATAATATCTACTTCTCTACTATCTACTTACTTTAAGATATAATACTAGAATAATTACGGGCAAAGATAACTTGGTTTGCACCCAAGCAGGATTTTCACTGTGTTTTCTTCTCGTTTTAAGCCAATTTTTTAGCTTTTTTCAAAATTTCCGCTTTTTTACGCTTTAATTAAATTTGCTGTTTCGCAATTTCTTCTAAGTAAATTATCTGAAATTCATCAATGGGGAACCACAAAGCGGTGAGCCCTTTAAAAAGAACCAAAATATTCAGAGCAGTGCTGCCGAAAGCATTTTAGCGTACACGAGTCCCCATAATTGATGATATTTATTTCATTGTTTTTTAGACTTTTAGTAGCTTTATCGGATATTAAAATGAGTTGCCCAATGCCGAATATTTTAACCCAGAGATAGAGATTGATCATTATGAAGAAAAAGGGAGCTTGTCTGTGAGAGAGTATTGAATACTAAGAGCAATTCTACCAAAGCCAGTAGTATCTCGGAAAAGTTAGCTACCAAAGGCGACTAGTAATATCTGTAAATTGCAAGATAAAATTATTTTTCAAAGATCCATTTTAAGTAGTTGTTACTTATAGAATAGAGAAAACTGATTCTGATAAAATATGAATTTTAAAATTTGTACAACTTAGTAGCTATTGTTGATCATACTCTGTATAAAATATTTTAACATATAGTTTTAAAAACATATAAATGTATAGTATCCACGTGCGTTAATATTAAAATGATAACAGGCATTAATTTTTTTTTTTAAAAAAAGAAAGGATCTTCTTAAATAAAAAAAATAAAAAAAAAATCTTCTTCTTTATTGTAGTTTGGTTTGAAGGCTGTTTTAAAACATTATTAAGTTTCATTTAATGATCTTTTATTTTATTTTCCTTCTGTTGGTGTTAAGAAATTATTCTTACAAATCATTTCAAATTAAGTTCATATTATTTTTAAAAAAAGTAATTACTCAAGAAATCCTCAAAAATGTTGCTTCATACCGAAGCTTAAGGCTAGAGCTAAAGGTAATTTTATTTACAATTTAATATACCATTATTTCATTTTAAATTTAGAGGATAAAGTAAGACTGTTTCAACCTTCTACAAATGAGGGGTTTGAACCAGATGAAGGTAAGAAAATAAATTTTATAATATTGAAGTTCATTTTATTGCTAAATCTCCAACATATAAATTTCAATTTTTAAAGTTAAAAGCAATTCATTCATAGTTTCTTTTGATATTTTATAATGCATAAAATGCTTAAAAAATATTTTCCCATTAGTACAGAATATTTTTGTTTTTCGTAGATGAGTTTTCCCCACAGATGGCACCCCCCTTGATTCCAAAAAGATCAAAAATATATATGCCAAGGTATGGAAATTTCTTACATTTTCTAATAAAATATCAACTGAAATATATTTATTACATATACCGATAGCTCTTTATTTACTCCACAAAACATATACTTGTAGAATCTTTAGTCAATATTCATATCTTTCTAAAATATACAGCAAAGATGGGGTGCTTGAAAACTAGAAAATTATTATACAAGCGAACATAGAAGCATTTAAGCAAAAGTTAAAGATTAATTAGTAAGAACAAACTCAATAAAGCTGAAGGAGGGTTCTTAAATCCATCATAGTCAGCATTTCTATAATAGTTTTAAAGTAATAGGTTTCATATAAACCTGCATAAACCAGTTTGATTGTCGTCTTGAAAGGAGATTTTAGCAATCTCCTTTTTAATTCTTTTACCATCCCTCAGTTTTATGAGACTGAAAAAATGACATTATGATTTAAATTCCCCTTGGTCTATCAATAATGATTTTTCATATTTTGATAAATTATTTAATTCAGAATTTGACTTATTTCTTGAGAAAGATCTTAAAATCTATATACTTAGGTCGAAGTTAACAGAAATTCAAAATGTTGAAATTGGACTAATAACTAGATAACTTCTTTTAAGAGTTGCATAATTCTATGGCTGATCCTTATACTCCAGATTCGGTTATTTATAGAGTTATCTACACTGTAAAAAGCTTCAAAAACGAATTTTGACTCGACAAAAGCGTTTCCGAAGATCTTAGAGAGCTTTTTTTAATAGCATGTATCCGATCCATTGAGAAACATTTTATTCATTTTCAAAAGTATGAAACTGAATTGCATTAACGCCGATTCAGTTTCAGAGGTTTCTGAAATATTCCGAAGCGTTTTTGAAAATTACTTTCACCGTAGCTGTCTCATACATTCAGAAAAATTTCAAACTTTTTTACAGTGCAGTTAAAACATTTTTAAGTTATTATTAGATAATCTAACATTAAAAAATTTATGCATAATTCAGCATAAATATAGAGTTATCTAGTTTTAGTATTATTCACGTTACATATTAGTTTTATTTCTGAGATTGTTCTCAACTGCATATTTTTTAATTTGAATTTAATTTCCCAGTGTTGGTGCCCTTACGGAGGAAATGATTAGAAAAGCATGTTATGAATATGCCCAAGATTCTTGTTGCTATGGGACTAGTTTTATTAGAAATATGACATTAATGGACGTAACCAACAGTTATTCATTTACAGTAAGGCTTGAAAATATTTTTTGTACGAAGTTCTTAACTTTCACATAACTGACAAAAACAAATTGTCTTTTTTTTCTAGTACAAATTAGAGTCTTATGGAGAAAAGAGAGAAACGATCGCTAAATTCTCAGCTTATTACGGTAATATTTCTTGCATCTGTAAAAAGTGCATAAATTTTGCAACTATAGAACTATATAAGATTGTGACTATATTTTTTTAATTTCATAACCATCGTTGAACAGCAGACCCAATTTTTTTGGGGTTTACAACTACTGATGTTCAACTCCCCGTAGGCTTGTAATTTTGAACCCAATCCAGAAGACAATGTAATTCCTGGATCAAATATTGGAAAAGAAAGCGGAGGACTTTTTGATAGAACTAACCCGCATTTGCGTTACATGGAGAGGAAAACCACGAAAACCTTCCACGGGTAGCCTGACTGCAAGGGGACTCTAACCCATGATCCCACTACCACTGAGAATATTTGACGTCAGCTCTGTGGTCGGTGCGAGACGGGTGCGGAATTTGAATCAATCAGCCATCGCTGGGATTCGAACACGGTTCACCTCATTTGAAGGCAAACGCTCTATCCCCTGCTCCATCATGGCTCAAGATTGTGACTATAAAAGCATGTAAATGTACATTAATGAGTATGAGAGTAAATAATTTATTTAAAGTGAGTTATATTGCATATAAATCCATAAATCAGGCACCTGTATTTAATATTAATTTAAACACAACATAAAGAAGTCATAAACAATGACGAAAAAAAGCATAAATGGCACACCATTAATGTGCGTTGTTCTTATTGCAATGAAGTATAATACATCTAAATAAATAAACTGTTCCATACATATTTTTATATTTATACTTTTTTTATGCAGCTGACATAATAATATATAATAATTAGCCTCAAGGAGGGATGCGTTTTATGAATGAAGATGGGTCAAAAATTTGTTTCTCGTAATTTTTTCATGAAATATGAGTTACAACTTCGATTTCAACTTACTTCAATGCGTTTTATTCCTTTTCTAACCTTTTCTTTGATTTTCATGCACTTTTCAAACTTATATTGAAATGAAAGAATTATGATCGTCATTTCTCAAAGCACTGAAATTTATAATTTCCATATTGGGAAAATTCTATAAATTAGTTGTTCCAAATAAAAAAGAATTGAAGTGGATATTTTTAGCAGAATGGTTTCTTCATGGTTAAACTCGTTAAAAACTGACTTACTAACTTCATTACGAGGTATTATCATTGAAATATTTTTAAATTACATTCATTAAGACATAAATAAGTTTCGTGCATAAAAAATATTATAGCATTTAAGAAATAAAATGGTGCCTATATTTCCTATTGTCTGAATGAATAGACAGACTATTCAGGTTGAAAACCAGTTTTTTTGTGAATTTTTTTTATTTTTTTATTTTATTTACAGAACTTGCACCTTTAAGCCATCATAAAAACATATGATTAATTTCAAAGAGAGAAATTTTTAGAAAGTGTAATTTGTTAATATTCGTTTCAAGTTAAGAAACTATAGTAGAAACTAAAAATTTCTCATCGGAGAGTATCTTCTCCAATTGAATTACAAATATTTTATGGATGTCTTTTAAACCCTTGACATTAGCAAAAATATAAAATCAGTGAAAAATACACATTACAGTGGTAATAAAAAATATTTATTACGTTGGCCGAAAACGGGTTAGATAACACATTAATAACTAAAACTTAGTTGCTGGAGTAAGGATTTGTGATCTTTTTGTTCACCAGGCAGCTGTACTTGTCACACACGCAATTAAGCTACTGATAATGGAGGGATTGATTGAATGAAGCCATCTCGTGTCATTTTCTTGAAGTATAGAACTTAGATCAATAGTCAGTGGTGTTTGAAAACTTTAAGAAAGCTTAGACAGCCAACTAACGTGCAGCTATCCTGTTGTATGACATTTACTTGGCTACTTATTAAATGTATCTATTATTTTAGCTTTGTAAGAAAATGTAGAAATTTTTCTCTTATTAGGACAGCCTGTTGATGGAACAGAAAATGGACCCGAAACTGATCCGTGGAATGTTGTGGTTCCCGTACCCATCGAATTCAAAAACAGCGTGACTAAAGTCGAAGTTCCTCATTCAGCTTCTATAAAAGAATGTGAAACTTGTCGAGGAAACCGGCGAGTGCCTTGCGACACTTGTTATGGAAATGGAACGGTAATTTTGTAAAAACTTAGAAGCAATATAATGATAATCTTCATGTTCTCAACGGTGACCCTTACAAAATTTAAGGTATTTTTGAGGTTTATATGAGGTTGTTTTGAGGTGTCAAGGTAGATTTGAGGTTCATTCAAAGTTTATTTCAAAAACAGCCTTTAGAGATCAACCTTCCAAAGCGTGTAATCAAACGAAGTTGTTTTATTCACACTTGAGGTTGATGGGAATCTACTTTAGAGCAACCAGCTTATGGATGTTTTTTAGTTTTATGTTTTTTAGGTGTATGGATTACTTTTTCTAGACTTTAAAAAAATACTTATATTTGAAGTGTGAATAATTTCCCCCGATCTGAACAAAAAAATTTTCTGAGTAATGTATGAAGTTGATTTTGTGAGGTAATTGAGGTTTATAAATGAGGTTATTTTTGGTGCAAAACACAACCTCATTAACTACGTCAGGCGTATTTTTTTACATCTGTCAACCTCGAAACCACCTTATTTTTTGTAAGGAGATAGTTTTATAACAATCTGTTCCTCTATATTTTTCCTGGTAAGTATTTTGTAACTTTCAGAAAGCCACGTGAAAATCAAGAATGAATGAGAATCCACTGGAATGCTCTTAACAAATGCTTTCCTCAACATAATGACAATGCGGTTTATTATTACATTGTAACAAGCTCTCCAATAATTAAATGTATTTCTCATAATTTTAATGTATTTTTCATAACTCGAAATTTACATTTTTTAAATTATTTACAAAAGAGGAAAACGTAACTTCCCCACATCTGGAGCTTAATAAATAGACTGCTGGATGATTGCTAAGGAATTTAACAATGTCACATGTAAAAAATTGAAGAACAGAAGGTTAACACTGAATTATCAATTATTAAGTTATTTACAAACATTTCGTAGCTATACACTGCAAAGAAATCCTGTAGAATTTACGCTATTAAACCCGTAGTTGGGTTGATTGTGAAAAATCGTAAATTTAAGAAGAAAACTCGTAATTAGACTGGTTTTTTACCTTAACTAAACAAGTTTTTATAACAAAAGGAAATCTGTTGTCTCAACAGACTTTTAACATATGGAAACATGTTTTCTCTGTAAAAGATACGAAGTGACTATGTACTCGCAGCAGGTGTGAGTATTTTACGCAGGCCGAATTCGTCCCGACCAGTCATCGCTGAAATTCGAACCTGGGGTACTTCATTAGAAGGCGTACGCTCGGTTCCCAGTTCCACTGTGACTGGCTTAAGTGTCTTATTATGAAGAAATTGTGATATTAAGAATTACACTTCATTGTTGTATCAATTTGACCATAAATTCGAATTACAGTTTTATTAATATGATGCTTAAAACCATGCAGTAATTACTAAAAAGGAAGAGCAATTATGGAAAATAACCATAAAATGATTTTTAAAAAAAAGGCAAGGTTATATCACGGAATGTGAAGCTGCATTGCAAAAACTAAAATTTCAACTGACGGTTTTAATTTGTTAAATAGACAGAAATTTAAGAAAAAACGGGTATGTTTACAATGTAGTACAATAAGTGAAAATGCATCATTTGAGCTGATAGTTTATCATTATTTACTTTACATTAAGGCTTTCACTTTCTTTCAAAATTTAGTACACCTGTTTTCTCTGTGAAGGAAGAGGAAGAGATCATGAAGATGACCATTGCCCAAGTTGCGATGGTACTGGGAAAAGAAAGTAGGTAAATTTGTTATCGTAATCATTTAAATATCTGGAAAAACAGAGCTTTAGTAGTTATAAAGAGTTGTCAGAAATTTAATCAATAACTTATTGAACTATGCAACACTCTAAGAAAAAATTATGCATTATAGAACAATAATATTAGACGTTAATATGGAGCAACCTAATAAGGTGTTAAAATCAACCTTGTTTCTGACCAAATTGAATCTGAAAATTTAAACTGTAATATGAACTTCACCTATACTAATATTCATAGACGTCCAACAGGAAGTCCTAACTCCCCACAATATATAAAAAAATGTATTAAATAAAAAAAATAGCAATAAAGGTAAAATTAACTTTGCAAGCTATTAAAAACTTCACAGTATGGTTATTGGGTCTTTCATCATTGTTTGAATAATCTTCTTATTGGAGTGAATTGGAGTGAACATGGAATCATTATAAATAAAATATATTAAATCGAAAACAAAATGGCTGAGCATAAAATTACTACAGCTTTATTTAGTATTATTGTATAATTTCCCCTTAAGCAGGAGAAAATGGCAAGTATTAATATTTGTCTCGGGTAACAAATTCTGTTATTATTATTATGTATTTATTTGCATACGAAGTAATCATTAAATGGTTAGCGTGTTTTTACATTTCTAACAGTTTAGTGAAATATTTTATATGCATGCAAATGCATAATAATAATAATAGTATTTATTTCACAAGTATATTTGTTATAATGAAATATGAAAGAATAAAAAAAGTACTAAATTTTAGTGAATCTCTAAAAAGTGGCAAATAATAAATTTCGAAGTATTTCCATACAGTTAATTCATACAGCTATTCATATTTATACCCCTGACTACAATTTGTTTCAATCTACATTTTCCAACATTCTTAGAATGTCCCTTTATTTGAGTTATGTTCTTTCACTAAGTTTATTAGATACATTTCATTTTCAGGTTCTAAACTAAAATAAAACAAAAATCTTAAAAGTTAAAGTGCATCTTTAATGTAGAAGTACAGAATTTAAACCTATTTTTGATTTTAGATGCTTAATTTGCTACGGAAGTGGACTAGTAGAATGCCGTACTTGTGATGGTTATGGACGACTAAAGCATTATAAACAACTCATTGTCACTAGGTAAGGTAAAATGACGTGTTCCGTAATTTAATTAATGTATTTTGTTTCATTATAATTAACGAAAATAGCGATAAAATATGTATACTTTTGTTGTTTACTTGTTATTTTTGAATGACTATGTTTGTATAATTATATAATAAACTGCTGTATGGATATTAATTTCAAATAAAAATCAAACTTTTCATGTTTAAGCATATTATGTACAATTACTTTAGTCTTTGCGATGAGTTTTTCTTTGTTAATATTTTTTTGTTGTTATAGCAACCAATATTGCTAATTTTTTGAATAATTTTGAGTTTCTACCACAAAAACTAAAAGAAGGAAAAAATTAAAAAGTCGAGCTTGATTTAAAAGAAATATTTCATATCGTTTTTCGATATAATTTTAATCTTTTTTAAAGAGCTGTAAGCCTAATTATGTGATCCTGGTTCAAACAGAAAGGAACTGTATTGCTATAACTTATACTTAATACATTAATTGGAAATGTAGTCAACTAGATATACCGCTTCAAATAATTTGAAATGTTTAATTACAAAATATTCGTGTTAAAATATTAAGCAGTAAATATTATATACCATTAATTTATTGCAGCTTCTAATTCAAGTAGCTAATGACTAAGAAACGTCAATATATGTTCTAATTACCTGAAAACTCCAAACGTATAAAAATATTTCATACTAAAGTACATTTTTAATCAAAGCAGACTTTAATTTTTTTCCAATTATTACTAAAAGTAAAACATATGATCATTGCAGTTAGTAGATATTACTGCAAGTTGTCCTAAATTCAATAGGTGGTCTTTAAAACAATTATAAAAAGGAAACCGTTACGAGTAAAGACCAACTCTTTTGACATATTAGTGCAGCAACTAATAAGCCTGTAAGCCAAACAAAATTAATTAAAAAGCACATGACAAGCTTTCAAAATTTCTCAATGAATATCAATAAATTAAAATTACAATCATGAAGTGTCCATCAGCTTCCATTATCATATGTCATAAGTTGAGAATGAAATTTTCCTTCATCCAGACTCATCGGAGAAAACAGCACAAATTACTTACAACGCATTCTGCTAGAAAAAGTTTGAATTTAAACTTATAACCTGGGAGGAAAAATTCATGCTCTGTCACATAATTTTTACCGCAATAATTGTTTTTATCATAACTGTTTTTCAGGCATGAAATTTTGAAAACACTCGATCTATTTATACTAGTCTGGTAGAGTTTCCTTTTGGGAATGATCACTCTCAATAACCTGCATAGTCATCAAGGGTGGTCAAACCCAATTTGAAACTCTCCACAAATGCTATACTTTTATATCAGTTTTGGACCATTACGATGTAATGTCAATTAAGTTTTGATCTTGTGTTCTTGCCGTTAACCTATTGTTTTCACTGTTTTTGTCATAGTTTGAAGCATATTCGTTTAAAGTTTTATATTTATTCACTATTCCTTGAGTTCCCTTCAAAAATATAGTTAATCCTTAGCCATTGTCTACCAGTGAAAAGCAAACTGTACATTGTTTATCTCCATGTAAGTTTCAATAACGACACGTCATTTTATATTAATTAGACATTTCCTTCTCTTAGTAAATAAATGCAAAAAAACTACAAATAATTTATTAGGAGTAAATTACTGCATAAAGTAACGGCACTTTGAGTGCATCATCCGTAAAATCCATTTTATTTTAAAATTCATTTTATTGTAAAATTTATTTTATTGTAAAATTCATTTTATTGAAAAATCTATTTTATTGTAAAATCCATTTTATTGAATAATCTATATTTAACATGAAATATAATAGCGAACAGTTATGTTTACTGTAATATTTATTTAATTAGGATTATTAAGTGATTTTAGGAAAATTTTACTGTAAAAATTACGGTATATCAGATTTTTTGCTCCGTAACATGCTCCGGTAAAATGGATTTTATGGTAAATAGTAGAGATCTTGAGAACCGGAACTTTTTGCAATTACTTGATTCGGAATTTTTTTTATAGTGATTTTAAATTCAAGTATAGATTTCTTACAAATTATTCACTATATTTATTTTTGAAAGAATATCTACTTTCTCTTAGACAATAGGTAATAATATGATAATTATATCAACTTGCTTTTCCAAAAGAGAACTTCATCTAAACTTTTTAAGGTATTATTGAGTAAAATGATTATTGACATCAAGTGTTATAACGATTATGATACCAAGTATTATTGAGTAAAATGAAAATTGTAATTTTCAGGGTAACTCATTCAGATGAATTTCTATCTAATACTATGAACTTACCTAAAGAATGTATTCGCTCATTAGCTGGAAGAATAATCTTTACCCAACAAGACACGGAGGTATATAGGATATGTATAAAAAATATTCTTTTAATTTTTAGTTGTAAATTGTTCTTTTTGTACATTGATACAATGAAAGATAATTTAAGTATTAACAATATACTTCTAAAAATATGATTAAAATCATTTCAAACTTTTTACAAAATTTATAAATTTATCAGCATGTTTCAAATTTTTGAACATGCTCTTTAATAAGATGAATGTGTGAATCTCTAAATGCTGCAGTTGTAACGATTGTGCTATGTGTGTAACGATTTTCCGCGAAATTATAAAATAATTTTTTTTTTAAAAAATGACCACTCTTATAATAAGAAAATAATTTATTGGCAAAGGGATTTGTAATAACTATTTATTATTTATTGTTATTATCATTTTTAAAGATATTTATTATTATATAATAATTATTTATTACTATTTTGATTATTTAAAGCGAATCAAGAGATTAAGAACTTTAAAATGCCAGGTTAAGCTACGTACTCTTAAATATGATTAAAAAATATTCAAACATTTATGTTAATTATTTGATTAAAAAATATTCCATTTTTTAAAAAATAGATAAATAGATAAGTTGAATATAATCAGCATGTTTCGAATTTTTGAACACGTTCTTTGATATGGTGAATACATGAAACTTCAAAACGAGTATCTGTAGATTATCCTATACATGCAAAGATTTCTTCAAAATTCTGTAATTAATTTGTAAAAGAATGCTCACACTTATAATCCCGTAAAATAAGAAAATAATTTAATGAAACAATAATTTGTGACAATTATTTATTATTTATTGTTTTTATTCTTTTTTAAACCATTTATTATTTAATAACTCTTTATTATTATTTTTACCAATTATTATAAAATGTGTTAAGATATTTTGAACTATAAGACACCAGACGAAACTACACAATGTAAAAAATTCCGGATCAAATTACGGTATAAAATACCGGCATTTTGGAGTATCACTCGTAAAATCTTTTTTACCGAATACCATAATTCTTAAATTATTATTTATTTAAGTATTATTGATTTTACGGTAATTTTTATTGTAAAAATTACGATATATCAAATTTTTGTTCCGTAACATGTTCTTTAAAAGGGATTTTAAAAGGGATTTTTCTACCATAATTTAATCTGGAATTTTTTACAGTGCACGAATTTTTAGATGCTAAAAAGTAGGATTTGACATAAAATTCAAGTTTTTTTTGCTCTGTATGGTAAAGTATGGCAAATGTTTTGCAGTGCTATCAGTTAAGCATATTTTAAGGTCAGCAAGATGAGGGTGTTTAAAAAATGGTAAATGATGGTGAACAGTTTAAAAAATGATAAGATATAAGTTTATAATATTTTTCTATTCATTTTCTAATTTTACAGGTTTTAATATTTTTATTGTGAAATTGTTAATGGAATTTAAATTAAATTAATAGTGATATTTTAGAATGATTTTTCATTAATATAAATTTCAACTTTGCTTTCAGGTTCCTGTTTTAATAAATGCTCCAGATAGACTTATTTGTGCAGCTTCATATAACTTAGTTCAGAAGCACAAAAGCGCTTTTCCTGAAGAACTTATAATCATGCAGGTATCTAAAATGTAAATTGTTGGCTGCGTTTTCTGTCACAAGCTTGTCTTTTTTAATTTTTTTTAAACAAAATGTCAAATTTTATCTGTTTTTTTTTTTTTTTTTTTTTTTTTTTTTTTTTTTTTTTTTTTTTTTTTGATAAATTTTATTCTTCCAGATCCAAGGAACTTTCAACATTCAAACCCTATTCCTCTAAAAGTAAATTCTGCTCATGTTATCTTTCTTTTTACAATTTTTTTTTAATAAATGGTTAATTATTGTCATGATCAGAAGTGCAGCAGACAATATAAACCTGGTTACATCTTGCAATAAAAACATCTAGCTCTTTTGTCAGAATCTTATTTTTTTATCATGTATATTTATCATGTATACCAACGTTCATCCAAGTCAGCGTAGTAAACAGGAAATACCAATTCCTGATTTTCACACTGAAACAGCAAGATTTTGATTAATCTAAGGGGAACTTAATTTAATAAAGTAAAACTTAATTTTGAATAGAAATAAGTTTTCTTTTATCTTTCCTCTGAATTAATAAATTTCTTAAAATTCTTATAATATTCTAAATTGTATTAACATAAAAATATAGTTCATAAATAATTTGCTAACTTTTTTGTCAATTATAGATTTATATATTTTCCTATAATTTAACACTAAGTAAGAAAAGTAGGCTCAAATTCACCAGACTATAGTAAAATTTAAATTTTTTCTTGTTCTTTGGGGACACTAAAAAGCTCTTGAATTTTTACCAACAGGCGTTGGTAATAATATAATAAAGTTTAAAAAATATAGTTTCATAAAATATGATAAAATTTGGTAAATGCGGTAAAATTTGGTAATTTTAACATGATATCTTAGCATGGCATAAAAATCATTTTTTGTTTGTTTTCGTTTTATTTATTTTTATCTTTTATTTTTTAAGTTTAGAAATTTTTACTAAATTTTGGTTAAAATAGGTTATAAAACATGTAAGATGTGGGGTGTAAAAAATAGTTATATGAACTATAATTTTGAAAATTGTAATTTCCAGCATGCCACTACTATATGAACAGAAATATTAATAGATGAATGGTTTAAAAGTCCTATACTGTGGCTTTTATAACCAAAAGTATGTTTTTTCCTCCTTTTTTTAAAAAAAAATCCTAGAAAGTCATTACTAATGCCATACGGTGGTTTTACCAGAATTGTAATCTCCGAGTACTCAGAAAGAATGATATTATTAATGAAGTTCAATTTGTCTAATATTACGGGATATAATATTGCAACTATTTCTATTTCTATTTCAGAGGCATACCCTTCGTGCTATTCCCATTACAAGAGTTGTCTATTCTTGGGGCGGAAGCGAAGGAGAGTTCTATATATACGGATTTAAGAACAGAGTTTACTTCGAATCATATCCACAGAAATGCTGCTGTGTTTGCATGTGATGTTACAATTTGTTTAGTTAGTTTTGTATTTAAAATAAAGTGTTATTATTCAAATTTTAATTAAAATAGTTTATACAATTAATTCTTATTATTTTTTCTGCAAATTACTAAAAGATGGTAACGAATTACTTAAGTCTTTAATCATAAAATTAACAAGGCTTTATGATTTATATTTTCTTAGCATAACTTCTAACATTAAAATTAAGGCGTTTCAACCTATTGCAGATTAAATTTTAGGATAATTCAATATTACTGTAGTTTGTGTATGAGAAACGAGATGATGAGCACAGCAGAAGAAAACCAAAATCTCAACACAAGATATAAACTAAATAGTAGTTTGTATATGTAAAAGCATATATATATATTTATATATATATATGTATATNTTAAAGTTGATACCATCAATTTAGTCTTTACTTTATTGGCAATGTATAGTTCCGATAAAATGTTCAACAATAATTTTATAAGCCAGATAGGAGGAGACTAAAAAGTTGAAGAATCTTAACCCTTTTAGATCTAGTCCGGAAAAATTGTCAATTACCCTCACCAAAATCGAAAACTCTGAATCGATATCTTCTACTGTTCTTTTTTTTTTCTTTTACCTCAACGGTATCAAATATTAGATAATAAAGATTTGTAATTGGTAAATTTACTCAATTGCAGTAAATGCAATGTACATTTCTTTAAAAATATGTATTTAACATCTAAAATTCCGTGATGTTGAGAAAGAAAAAAGTACAATTCTGAAATTTTGTCCGTTTATATTGTTGTTGAGAAATAAAAACTTTTAAGAGATATTTCAAACCAATCAACAAAATCTGTAAAGTAATTTTTAGTAAAGTAACTAAAGCATTTTTGAGTATTTTTAATAACTTTTAGCTCATTAAAGTGGCACAATATATTTCAAATCTTTAAGATTTTGAATATTTTTTACTGCTTTCCTTTGGCAATGATTCTTTCTTAATGTTAAAATATTTGACTTTTTCAACCCATCATGCTGTATTCTGCTTTCTGCCTATAATCAGTATTGTTAAAATCGTATTTTATATTTTTTATTTTGCACTCTTCAATACAAAATTTGTTATATCAATTATAACATACAGATTTTTAGCATAATATTAAATAACAAACAATGAAATAGAAACTTCATAAGGAAATGGGGTAATGAATCGTTTCTGTATGAAATTTCAATCATCTACTGCAATGGTAGCAATCTTTCAACGTTTTTCCAAAAGTTATGATAAAATTTATTATTGTTCTCTACATTTGCAATTCGTAAATTTATTTTTATTCATTTTCATTCAAGTAGTTTCTTTTTTTAAAACAAATCTTATCATAAAAATGAGATAATAGATAATTATAAATAGATAAGTATAAAATAATGAAAATATAATGTTATCAGTATTAATGTTTCAAAGATGCAAAATGTGAAACAAAATTTAATTAAAGAGAAAACCTTTTTTTCTTTCAACCTAATATTTAATCTGAAATCACTGTGCAATTAGATAAGGAGCTATAGATATATTAGTACAAAGGAACTTACAAATCTACACTAAGAAAAAAAGTATAGTCAAAACTACCAGAGTATGGTAAAATTTACCGTATTTCTGTTTATGGTAAATTCAAAATGATCTGTAATTTTTATTGACACTTTGTAAAGTAAGCAATAAAATATGGCTTAATAATCTGAGAAAGAATTTGCTAAATGTGGTAAAATCAAGCAATTTTACTATGATACTTTAGAGGATGGCAAGAAAATCAAATCATTATTTTGGTAAAATTTACATTAATCACATTCAAAATTTACATTGAAATTGCATTAGTTTCGTATTTTTTACTAAATTTGTGGTAATAAGAACTAAAATTCTGAAAAACAGAATTTTCTTTAAGCAGTTGCCATATGAAAAGAAAATGTTCTAAGCGAATAGTTTAAATATCGTATATTTTGACTTTGTTAACCAGATTAGGTATTATAAATCATTGATGCCTTTTTTTAACGAAAAATATCATTACCATATAGTACGGTAATTTTGCTAGAATAATATCTCCGAGTAATAAGGGTCTTAATTTGTTTATTGTTAAAATCATTGATATAAATATAAATGTAGCTACATATATTCATATATTTATCAATGAATACCAATTGACGAAAATGCAATAAATGGAAACGTTTCATATTTCGTTGTTAGAGTTATCGAATTTATTTTCGATTGTAATTTATTTATTACGAAATCAATTAATACACTTGAAAAGGGCCTTTATATTACACATTAAGAGAAAGATGCAACTTACATGATTACAAGCATATTTTCGCATTTTTCTCTAAATAAAATGAATTTGAACTCGATTTTATTATGATTATATCGATTTTATTTTATTATATGATGTTTATTGACATTTAGTTACAATAATTTATCGAATTAATTAAAATGTGCGAATGTACAAATGAAATCCATTGAGTACGTATGCTATTATTAATGAATTTCTAGATATAATTAATATTAAAATGTAGTATATAGGGAAAACAAAACAAATCAGGATTTTATTATATGTTATGAAATATATATCATTGAGAAACAATTATAAAATAAGAAAAAAAGCATTAATACGATTTTATAGAAGTTAAATAATATATGCCCTATGATTATATATTTTACTTTTCAATATTAATTAAATATCAGGAATTGAAAACAGCATTATAATTCTTATTTGCACACATTTTAGTAAAAATACAAAAGTTGTAAGCAAATTTAACCGAAAAAATGGTTTTTATGACATGTTCTAAAGTGTCACGCGAAATTACCACTTTTATAAAAAAACAGATGATAATAAAATAGTATTTTACTGTTCATTTTATCAACAGCCATAACCAAAACACATTGGTAAAAACAACCATGCTTATTGACGAGCCCAGTGAAATACAGTAAATTTTATAATATTCTGTTAGTTTTGACCATACTTTCTTTTTCTCAAAGTACAAATTACAAAATAAATTATTTTGAATAGAAAAAAATATTAAAATATATTTTCTCTTTTATTTAATTTAAATTTATAATAAGTTTTCGGTTTGGTTAAAAAACATAAGCATCAAGAATAAGAAATTGATAATTCTGAGAATTTTTATTTTATTAAGTATTCATGTGATGTATTATATAATTTGTAATCTAAAGCTAGCAAATATAAAACGCAACATATGTTTGAATCAGCATGAATGTTTGATTTCAGGGAGTAAAAAAAGAAGGCTTGCCCTTTTTTTTAGAACATGAAAACAAAACTTCTAATCTTTCTTTTTTATTCACTCTGAGAAAAAAAAAGAAACTGCTTTCTTTTCTTTCTTCTTTCTTTTTCACTCTGAGAAAATGTATGGTCAAGACAACTAGAATATGGTAACATTTACTGTGTCTCTGACTCTATAGGAACACTAAAAAGCTCGGTAATTTTAACCAATCCGGTTTGTTATGGATTTTGATAAAATTAACAATAAAATGGTCATTTTACAATCTCACAATTTAATAAATAGTTCAGCATTTCATAATTTTACCATGATACCTTAAAACATGGCATAAAAGATACATTTATTTCGTTCAATTTACTTTTCAGTTTGGTATTTTCCCTGTGTTGTAATTAGAATTAGAATTTTGAAAACCAGAACTTCCGTTAAACCGTTACCCTACATGAGCGGAAAAAATGACCAAATAAATAGTTTAAATATCGTATATTTTGGTTTTTATTACCAGTATTAGTTCTTTATTTAAACTTTACAAGAATTGATTTCCTTTGTGCAGTACTATACAAAATTTACGCATGTCTTATAATGTACTGTAAATTGTAGATCACTGCAAAACTTTATTAACCATAGTAATATTTTTAATAAATCCGTTTTCAGCCATAATATTTTTAATAAATCCCTAAAAAATTAATCAGATACAAAAAATCGATTTTGAATTCGTTTATTATGTTGGCGCACGTCTTCAAAAAGGTTGATATGTGATTTTAGTAATTTACTAAAAATAATTTTATCAGAAGAAAATTAGTTTAAAGCATATTTTTGCGAAATTGCTAAGTACATATCGTTTTATTTATAGTAACATCGTTTACTATTGTCGCTTCTACATTTTAACTGGGGTGCTTCCTTAATCGATCCCCATGATTACTCGTCATTAATCATTGTTCTTGTTTTCAAAATCAATATTTTTTAAAAGAGTAAAGAACATTTTGATGAATGCAATAAAATATGTAGTAATTATAATATTATGTAAGCACATTGTGTTAATAGGAACGAAAGGAAATGATTCGTACAATAACACTGGGAAACAAATTTTTTCTTGCGTTTAGCCTGATCTTGTCTTACTCGAGTGAGTGGATTTTAAATTTAAAATTAGTTTTGATCCTAAAGCTACAGTTTTTTTAAACTGAAATTTTTAGTCTATTATTTTCTCAAAATGCAGAAATTTAAAAGCGTTATATATATCAGGGGAACGCAAAAATATAGCGACAAACTTTTAGGAGTGTTAGAGCATATCATCAAGAATAAAATTACATTGAAGCCGATGCTTGGTCGTCATACGCGGCTAGAGGAGATTCCCTACTATGACCTGTTCAGAAGCATACGAAGAAACAGTTCAAAATAAGGAAGTGCATCTAGGAAATATTTCTTAGAACTCAAAACATTGAATTCTAATATTAGAAACAATATTTGAAAGTGAGCAATAAAGGTTTAGGGACAAAAATCCTTATTTTTGTTTAAAATTATTATTAAGTTAAATTCTTGTCATTTTAAACTTATTCAGTAAAAATATGTATGGAAAATTTAAAAAAAACACATTTTAATGATTACGTCTGTGAAATGTTTGCTTACATTCCCTCTTAAAGTGCTAATATTAAGTGATTTAGTTGAAGTAAATGCCTCAAAATAAAATGGTTTTTTTCCTTCTGCATTATCTAAAATATCCTGGACTTAAAAGGTTGTAACTAAGCAAATAAAAACTTTGTCAGTTAACCAAAAGAAAAACACATATTTTGGTAAAATTACAGTACTGTAAAGATATTTATGGTATGGTAAAAAAGCAAACAAGCATATTTCAGATTATGAAAGTCTAACCAGTTTATTTCTATCTTTTTAAACCAGTCATTTGGTAATTATTCCGTTCGTATGGTAATGGTTAACTGGAAATTCTGGTTTTCAAAATTATAATTTTAAAAATTATAATTGTTATTAGCACACATTTTAGTAAAAATACAAAAGTTAGAAGAAAATTTAACCGAAAAAATGATTTTTATGACAAGCTCTAAATCTAAAGTGTCACTTGAAATTACCCCTTTTACTTAAAAGCAGATGGTAATAAAATAGTATTTTACTGTTCATTTTATCAACAGCCATTACCAAAACGAATCGATAAAAACTACCATACATATTGATGAGATCAGAGAGCTAGAAATACAGTAAATTTTATAATATTCTGTTAGTTTTAACCACAATTTTTTTTCTCATAGCATAAATTACAAAATAAATTAACTTAAAGAGAAAAAAATATTAAAATATAGTTTCGCTTTTATTTAATTTTAATTTATAATAAGTTTTCGGTTTGGTTAAAAAACATAAACATGATATCTATTGACAGCAACCGATGCTTGTTTATTAAAAATCTGTAAACATGATAATCGTTAACTTTGAACTTGTCAGAGAATAAAATAATTCTGAATCAGTTTTAAAAATCAGACTGTTTGAGATTTTTATAGGTGATTAGAGTAATTGACGTTTTAGGAATGTAAATATAATTATTTTTTAATTCTAAAGCGTCATACAATCTATACATAGCAATTAGTAATTTGCATAGTATGAAAAAAGTGGGCTAGGTTAAAAAGATAAATGTGTAGGACCACAGCTTCTGAAAATTGGTAAAAATTTTTAATTCTTTTAAAACGCGTTTATAAACTAGAAGAAATTGGCGAAACAAGCAACAACGCCTTTCTTATTTTTATCAAAGAACAAACAAAGGATACAATAACTGGATATTTAATTTCCACTACCCGTATCGATAAAAATATCCTGATATTTTTGATTATGCGACGCAAGTAAGATATGATTGACGAAAAAAATTTTCTTAAATGATTATATCAGTGCACAAAAGTAGTGATAACTGCCACCTTTTGTCATTTTTTTAAAATAAACTAAAGATTCATTTGCTAAAGAATATTTTAATCACTACTTAATAATGTCAAAAACGCTGGATTTTCTTCCTGATATAGGTAAGTTTTACTATATTTAATCTGATAAACTCATATTTAGAAACTGAAAGATTTTAAAAAGTTTTGAAGTCGAAATAAATTAAATATGGGAGTTACAGTTTAAATCATTTATGAACAAGAGATTATAATTAACTTATTAATTAATCAGTTAATTTTTAGAATATTATTAATAGATTATTGTTAATATTAAAATTGCATCGTCTTTATTATAAATGATTTTGTTTCAAAAAACTTGCATCTTTTAAAATAATATTAGTAATTTATCAAAGTTTATTTTTTGTCATATGTTATTAGTGTTTTATTTCTGAATTTTTTTTATCATTGTGCGATGGCGTCATCATAAATTGTCACAGCATTATAGTATAATTCATAATATTTTACATTCTCATATCAAACATAGAATTTTTTTGTCTCTGCAAATTTTGTGTGTTTTAATTTTTTATCAAAAATAGTACTATGGCTTCAGTTTGTTTTCATAAATTATCTATTTTTTTATAGTTTTTTTATGAAAAAAAAAGTAAAAACGTGCATTATAATTTATTTTTTTGATGCTAAGGAATTTTTAAGTTGACAATTTGAAAAAAATTAGATAGAACGAAATATAAAAATATAAAGGAACATTCTGCCTTTTAATAATATTTTGTATATTTATAATCTATGACAAAAAATCAAGTAAAAATTACTTAAGAGTAATTTTTTTATAATATTGATAGATGAATGAAATGAAAAAAATCCAAACGCAAGATTCATGATAGAAATGAAAAAAATTTATTTAAAAAATAATGTTTTTATCATATCCTACGCATGTAGGTTTTAAATTACTATTCATTTTTCTCTGAGATGAGTTTTTCTTGAGTTAATCGCATTGTTTAGCCTATTAATTAGCAATACTTATAGAGCTCTAAATCAAACAATTTGTACACAATACACTTTGTTATATTAACATGATTTTAGTATAATTTATTAGTTAAAAGTATTTATTTTCTCCGCATCGTTCAAAATGAATTTTGATTAATTTATAAACTCTTGAAAAGTTTAGTAGAGTTAAAGAAAAGAAATATAATTTATTTTCTTTACAAAATAATGCTTTTATCATATTCTACATAAGTTGCATTTAACTAAATTATATTTATTTTTATACGAAATGATGCTTTCATGAGTTAATTATATTGTTTAGCTTATTAGTTAACAATACTTATAGAACTGTGTAACCAATCACATGTATACAATACACTACGTTGTATTTATATGCATGATTTCAGTATGATTTGTATCATTTTTAAGTGCAAAGTATTTGTATTTGTTTTTCTCTCATCGTTCAACTTGAAGTTTGAATAACTTATCTTTTCTTACCAAAAAAGGGTGAAGTAAATTTAGGAGAAGGTAATGTAAATATTTACAAACAATATAATGTTTTTATCGTACTCAGCGAAAGTAGCTTTAAACTAGTTTAAATTTATATTATTTTGAAATGATGTTTCAATAAGCTATTCACACAGTCTTTAGCTTTCAATTAACAATGATTATAGTATGAAATATACTAAACTGGGAAATAAATTATATTATGAAATATGCTGTAGTATATTATAGTATGAATACTTATATGTATGATTTTAGTGACATTTGCTTTTGCTTATTGCTATGATTTATTTATTTTCGTTGTATCTTTCTAACTAAATTTTGCTTCACTTATTCTTAACTCTTACTGAAGAAATGCTGAAGTAAACATAGGGGAAGTCATGTTATCATTGGGCTGGATGCTTCATTGATTATTGTTTTGTAGTCATTGGAAGCAAGTACTACCCGTCGACTCATTGATAAAGTTTATGAAGTAAAAAGATGTCATATTGAGCGTGAATTAATTTAATTCAAATATAAACTGAGTTCTTGTTGATAGAAGTAGGAATTTTTGTACACATTTTTCCTATGTTTCAATATAACCAAATTATGAATAATAGAAAGACGCAAATAGTATTTTAAAATGTTTCTAATAATATTTAAAACTATGCTTAATCATTGTTATTAATGATTGTTTACTTCGTTGAACCTGAATTTACGAATACATTGCACACGGATTGTAAATTTTCTTCAACTCAGTTGTTATGAATGTGTAAATAACATTCTTCAAATTTATATTTTACGAGTTGGGAAAAATAATGATATTGCATCTGAATTACTAAAAGCATATCAGAAGTAATTAAATATAAATTAGAAAATAATAATATTTATTTCGTCTAGATTGATGTAAAGAGCCCAAAAAAATCAATGGACCAGCCTGATTAACTTTCAATCTTATGATCGGATCTTCACATTCTAGGACACAATCTTATGGCTAAAGGGGGTGATCTTAAATATGCTAATTAATTAGTGCAAATGATATTTTAAGTTATGAAATCATTCTAATACCCAAAACATAGGGGACAGCCGCAAACTGGGAAATATGGAGTCTAAAGTGGTAAAATATAAAATTTGGGTGAAATAGTTTTGTCAGGAGAGAGGCCCAAATTTTGGATCCCAATGTTAATTTAATTTTTTACGTATTTCACCAAACCTCTAGAAGTTTGTAAGCGAATTAAAACAATATTCTTGCAAACAATTGTAAAATTCGTTTATCCAAAGATAATTCCTTGCTAAATATGACATTTAGTAAATATTTATTATTTTTTTTATTATTTTATTTACGAATAGTTGAAAAATTTTTGAATATTAAGGGCATAAATTTTAACATAATTTCAAAGAATGTTGCTTTAAATAGCAAAATACGAAATTTGGGAGAAATCGGTAGAACAGTTCCTGAGAAATCGAATTTTGAAAAAGTCGAATTTCACTCAAATTTCGTATTTTGTTTTTAAAATTGAATTCATTGAAATTATGTAAATTTTTTTCTACTATTCATGAATAGAATGATAAATATTTAACAAAATTAATATTTTGCATGGAATTATCTTTGGCTAACTGAATTTCGCCATTGTGGGCAAAAATTTTTCAATTCGCTTAAAAAATTCTCAAGATCTGGCAAAATACACGAAAATTAAAATTAACATAAGAGGAATCTAAAATTGAAGCAGCTCTTCTGACAAAACTATTGTTGCCAGATTGCGGCTATCCCCTATACTTTGTAGATCATAAATCTGAATAAATTAAAAATATGCTTAAAGTTATGTTTTTTCAGAGAAAGTACGTTTTTGTGTTTTATTTTATAGCTTTAAAATTTCGTCTGCACTAATTAATTAGCATTTCTGAGGTCACCCCCCTGAACCATTAAGATTGAGTCCTGGAACGTGAGGATCTGGTCATTAGATCATAAGTTATTTAGGATGGTATTTTTTGCACACAGTGCACTCATTAAAAATCTCATTCGGGATTATTGAGATTATTTGGCGTAATTAGTTACACTGTAACAATTTCTTGATCAAAGGTAAAAAGTACCGGTAAAAGCGCAAGTTACCACAAAGTTTCACACCACAAAAATGTCTGATATACCCATACAGTTGACATACCATAGTTTTTACACTAATACTTACTGTGAAATCACTGAATCGCTATAATTAAGTAAATATAACTGTTAAATCTTGCTGTATGATTGGATATTACGCCAAAATAGATTTTGCGGATGCTGCAATCAATGTGCAAGTAATTTTCGTAGTAAATTCGAACGGAATTTTTTACACTGTAACATTCTAGACTCATAATAGACTCATAATATTTTAAGCATTTTACTGACTTGTATTAGGGTGATAATTTGCTAAGAAATAAAAATGCTACCTGTTTATTTGCAGCAACTCCCGGATCCAATGACATGAAATGTGTTATCTTTCATTAAGCCTATGGCACTTATTTTTATTTTTCCAATGCATTTTACAGTTAAAGTACCCATGCCTATATAGAGATTGGAAGGTAATAATTGCATTAATCAGATGCATTTGCTAAAAGTAAATGGTCATACCATAGCAACCTCCTCCTATATGAAATAGGAAGAAATTTTCTTTGTAATTTCTATAGGAAGAGAAAAAATAGAATTTAAGTAAATGTATGCTATATAATGTTTCGAACAAAATCTATTTTAGACTCATCAGATCTAAATACTTGTGCCACAAATCCTTGTTATCAACCAGAGGAAGGTAAGTATTATTATATATTAGCTTTATTTGAATTAACTTTCGTTTGCATTAATACTGTGTCCAATAAATAATCTCATATTCATATTTCCTAAATTTAGTTATTATATTTATTTACAGATAATTGGATTATGTTGATTCATACAATAACTTTTTTTAGCTTCATTCTATATTCTGCTAAAAATATTGGTTTTGTTGAATCTTGAGATCATTCAAATTTTTTATAATCTTAATATGGAGTTGATTTGAACCATTTTATCGTACATTTTAAACTAGATATCACGTTACTATTATACAAGTTGAACAGAAATATGATTTAATTTAACACTTTATCAATGTTAAGGCAAATTTACACCAATTTAATGGATCAGGGAACATACATTAAAATAATTGAAACTATAAATCTGACAGTGTAATTTTGTCAAGTAAATGTATTACATGAAACGTGCAGGATATTCGGTCTAAAAATTAATCTTAATATTGAAATTTTCAAAGAATTATACTATTTGAATTATATCACACATTAAATTGGATGTTAAGTTGAGATTTATTTTCTTAAATTGAACTATAATCATGAATACGATTCTAAGTAGGTCGGAATTGAAAACTACTTAACTTCAAAATGCATTCAGATTGCTGTTTATGTGATAAACATGATTTAAAATGCATTCAGATTGCTGTTAATGTGATAAACATGATTTAAAATGCATAGATGTGATTAAAAATGCATAGATATTTTTAAGATTATCGAAGCTATTTTCAATTTAATATCATTCGAAGAGATTATTGACAATAATTGAATAAAAAATTTTCTCTTTTAATCTTTGAACGCAAAAAATATACGAGTAACTTAAATCAAATCATGAACGTTGGTCACAGTATGGTTTAATGATGAAAATCAACAATGCTTCAAACTTTTATTGGATTATTTGAAACCAATTTTTTCTTTGTGAAAAAAAACCATTCGTCTTAAAGCATATAAATAACTTATTCAATAATATGCTCAATTTTTATCCCATATCTTTTGCTATCTTTCTGAAAGCTATATGCTTCAATGATCATAAGAGTTTGAAATAAAAAGACTAATATAAGATATTTTTGATGTCCTGATTGAAAATCAAGTCTTTGACGCCTAAATATATTCGTATAAAGTTGAGACAGTCATGATTCGAAGGTATAAAAAATACTGAAAATATGGTGGATGAAATAGTACATATGAAACAACCTGTAAAAGGTTTGCATGGGCTTTGATCTTGCTGAAACACTATACCTTTCCTATGGATAAAATCTGCCCTTTTCTCTTTGAGTGAAACCTTTGATTAGTCTAGATATTTGAACTGAAATTAGACGAACACAACAAGCCTTGTCATATCAGCTGTCAAAATGTCGAACGTAATGTTGGGTATGAGAAAAATGTTAAGTCCTTTATTGGGAAAAACGAAATCACTTTTAAAACAAACTTATACTTTATAAGAGATCATTCTTTCGAAATATACAAAAGAAAGACTGTTTAATGTTGTAATACTCGTTTAGGAAGTTTTATAGTATAAGGACAGTTTCCTTAAAATATTATTCAACTAGATTTCGCTAACTATATAATTCACTAATACACATTCTTATTCGTAATATTTATTGTGTTCTTTAGTGATTGTATGTCCACCTTCCAATCAAAATTTGGAACAAATATGTACAGAGCGACCACCTCTTATAAAGTGAGTATAATTTTTCTACAATTATTATTTTTTAATAATTTACCATATTAAAATCTCCATGTTTCCCCAAACTGAACGTCGATTAAAAAAATAAATGATAATAATGAAAGGCAGACGAGGAGAGAAAATGTTAAGGTTTGCTTAGGAAACCAGAATTTATTTGCACAAAAAGCATTACAATGTTCTTCAATAGATGGCGCTTTTAACTAAGTTAATATGAGCGGTTTTTTTAATTCAAAATAACTACCGCTTGTAATAACAATGTTGCGTAGTTTGAAAGTAGCAGGCATCTATGCAAATATTTTTTTTTGTCTAGAAATCAGGTATAAAGCAGAAGTAATTGATGTACACTTTTTTCTGTCAACAGCATCGTCTGCTAACTAGCTTCATTACTAATTTTAATAGTTGGTGAATATAAATTTATCTGGTATCCTCAGTAACGCACATCAAACAGTAATTTCTAATCTTCTGTTTTTTAAATCAATTTTATTTCAACTTTTTTGGCTATTTTTGAGATTTTAGAGGTTTTTGACCTATTGCATGGGTGAAATTCGTTAATGTTTCTTTGAATCAGCCGACACGAAAATCTATTAACATAAATCACAACGTAAACTCAAAATAAAATTTATCATATTCACGTCATCGCTACGCACTAAAGGGGAAATAAAATGGCAAGCGAAGAGGATCCGAAAAATGTCAAATTAGGTACAGCACACAATAACTTAAACTATTAAAAATTATACTCAAATTTTAAGAAACTTTCTTCTTTTTGACGAAACCATTACTGGTGTATGCTCCTAGCGAACATTTTGTAAAAGTGACGACATAACTGTCGCTACTTTTTCAAGGAAATGAATTTTGTCAAAGGTAAAGAAATATTTCGTTATTCTATTTAACTTTTCATCGAGAAAAAGAGAAACAATGAGACACTTGTAGTGCCTCATATCTAACGGGTGGCAATGGTACTTTTTCGTTGTCACCATAAAAGTAAATTACCGTCACTCCATCAACACAAAGATAGATGGAACAAAGAGATAAATTATATCCATACGCGTAGCGGGATTCGAATCTGGGTTCTTCCTGATATGAGGCAAATCTTGACAACCATACAGTTCGGTCGGCTGATGTCACTGTTCTAGTTTTGATCGTGTAGTCCTCATTTTAGTTTCATTCGAGTTAAAAAATCTCCCACAATGCACTGTGATGAAGTTCCGCGTTGAGGAAATTTTTTCGTCATATATTTGAGAATTCGCGTTTCATCACAAATCATTTGATTTTTTGACGAAATGATTCTCAAAAATAACGAAATACAGCTCAGAGATTGCCGAATAGTTAGTTATAAGTGAGAGTTTTATTTCTGAGAGTGTAGTCGAACAGAATAGGCACATTAACTAGCAGCCTTATGTCTCACTTGTTAATACAGATCCAAGGAATAATAAACTTTCCTTGTCCATCCTGTACAGCATAGAGATGTTTGCCTATTGTATTGGGTGGGCAGGGATTCTGAGTACACAGCTCCTTTCCTTCTAAACATTTATGCTATTTTTTAAGCTCTCAATTGTGTATTGAGTGTTCTGTGTTTTGAGTTCTTGTATTGTTTTGGTATTTCAAAATCTCTTTGCGCTAGGTGTGTATAACACTACATTGAGTGACCTGATGCATTGGATTGAGTTCTGATTTTACCATTTGTAGCAATATTCTATGACATTTATGTCATAGAATATTGACCTATATTATCTAAACTATGACATTTATAAACAAATAAAAATATTAAATAACTAAATTTTTAAACTAATAATTTATGAACTACATAAATATTTTAATAACTATGAAAATATATAAATACAGTAAACGATTTACTCAGAAAGTAATATATTATTTGGATAGGTCATAATTTAATCAGAATCTTTAATTATACGTAAGAATATAATCAGAAATACTTTCGCTAAATTTGTCTGGTTTAAAATGATCAGGTTGAAAAAATTTGTCTGGTGAAAACAATGATCTGGTAAATCAAGCGTTCAAGTCAAAATTTTTTTGCTGTAGTTTAGGTTCACTTACAGCTGAAGAAGTGAGAGACGCGNAAGATATTTTTGATGTCCTGATTGAAAATCAAGTCTTTGACGCCTAAATATATTCGTATAAAGTTGAGACAGTCATGATTCGAAGGTGCAAAAAATACTGAAAATATGGTGGATGAAATAGTACATATGAAACAACCTGTAAAAGTTTCGCATGGGCTTTGATCTTGCTGAATCACTATACCTTTCCTATGGATAAAATCTGCCTTTTTCTCTTTGAGTGAAACCTCCGATTAGTCTAGATATTTGAACTGAAATTAGACGAACACAACAAGTCTTGTTATATCAGCTGTCAAAATATCGAACGTAATATTGGGTATGAGAAAAATTTTAAGTCCTTTATTGGGAAAAACGAAATCACTTTTAGAACAAACTTATACTTTATAAGAGATCATTCTTTTGAAATATACAAAAAAAAAAAAACTCTGTTCTTGTTGTAATACTCGTTTAGGAAGTTTTATAGTATAAAGACGGTTTCCTTAAAATAATATTCAACTAGATTTTGCTAACTACATTATTCACTAATACGCATTCTTATTCGTAATATTTACTGTGTTCTTTAGTGGTTGTATGTCCACCTTCCAATCAAAGTTTGGAACAAATATGTACAGAGCGACCACCTCTTATAAAGTGAGTATAATTTTTCTACAATTATTATTTTTTAATAATTTACTATATTAAAATATCCATGTTTCCTCAAAAGAAATCTCCATGTTTTTTGCTTAAGAAACCTGATTTTATATGCACAAAAAACATTACAAAGTTCTTCAATAGATGGCGCTTTTAACTGAGTAAATATGAATAATTTTTTGACTCAAAATAACTACGGCTTGCATTAACAATGTTACGCAGCTTGAAAATAAAGATGTCTATGCGAATATTTATTTTAGAGAAATCAGGTATGAAGCAGAAGTAATTGGTGTAAAATTTTTTCAGTCAACAGCGTCTTCTATTAACGAGCTTCATTACTAATTTCAATAGTTGGTGAATATAAATTTATCTGGTATCCTAATTAATGCACATCAAACTGTAATTTCTAATATTCTGTTTTTTAAATCAATTTTTTGTGTGGCTATTTTTGAGATTTCAGGTGTTTCTGACCCATCGCATGAGTGCAATTTGTTAATATTTCATTGAATCAGCTGACACATTATTAGCATAAATCTATTTGTATAAATCTGCTAATATAAATCACAGCGTAAAATCAAAATAAAATTTGCCATGCCATATTCACATCATTGCTACCTGCAAAAGGTGAAATAAAATGTCATGAAAGAGGCTCTGAAAAATCTCAAACTAGATACAGCACACGATTGCTTTGACTGTAAAAACGGATACTCAAATTTTACGACTTCTTCTTTCTTGACGAAACCATTCCCTGAGAATATTTTGTCAAAGTGTAATATCCCCACTTTTGTTTGTCAAAATAAATATCCCCACTTTTTCCAGGAAATGAATTTTGTCAAAAGCAAAGAAATATTTCGTCTTTCTATTAAATTTTTCATCAAGAAAAAAAAAATACAATGAGGCACTTGCAGTGCCTCATATTTAACGGGCGACAATAGTACTTTTTCGTTGTCACCATAAAAGTAGATTACAGTCACTCCATCAACACAAGGATAGATGGAACAGAGAGATAAATTACATCCATACCCGTAACGGGATTCGAACCCGGGTTCCTCCTGATATGAGGCAAATCTTGACAACCATACAGTCCGGTCGACTGATCTAGTTTTGATCGTGTACTCTTCATTTAAGTTTCGTCATTCGAGTTAAAAAATCTCACACAATGCACTGTGATGAGGTTCCGAGTTGAGGAAATTTTTTCGTCATATATTTGAGAATTCGCGTTTCATCACAAATCATTTGATTTTTTGACGAAATGATTCTCAAAAATAACGAAATACAGCTCAGAGATTGCCGAATAGTTAGTTATAAGTGAGAGTTTTATTTCTGAGAGTGTAGTCGAACAGAATAGGCACATTAACTAGCAGCCTTATGTCTCACTTGTTAATACAGATCCAAGGAATAATAAACTTTCCTTGTCCATCCTGTACAGCATAGAGATGTTTGCCTATTGTATTGGGTGGGCAGGGATTCTGAGTACACAGCTCCTTTCCTTCTAAACATTTATGCTATTTTTTAAGCTCTCAATTGTGTATTGAGTGTTCTGTGTTTTGAGTTCTTGTATTGTTTTGGTATTTCAAAATCTCTTTGCGCTAGGTGTGTATAACACTACATTGAGTGACCTGATGCATTGGATTGAGTTCTGATTTTACCATTTGTAGCAATATTCTATGACATTTATGTCATAGAATATTGACCTATATTATCTAAACTATGACATTTATAAACAAATAAAAATATTAAATAACTAAATTTTTAAACTAATAATTTATGAACTACATAAATATTTTAATAACTATGAAAATATATAAATACAGTAAACGATTTACTCAGAAAGTAATATATTATTTGGATAGGTCATAATTTAATCAGAATCTTTAATTATACGTAAGAATATAATCAGAAATACTTTCGCTAAATTTGTCTGGTTTAAAATGATCAGGTTGAAAAAATTTGTCTGGTGAAAACAATGATCTGGTAAATCAAGCGTTCAAGTCAAAATTTTTTTGCTGTAGTTTAGGTTCACTTACAGCTGAAGAAGTGAGAGACGCGTGTCTTCAGTATGCCTCGAATAACTGTTGTTATGGCAAGAAATTTGTCAGAGAGACGATCATTTCAAGTGTAAATAATGGATGCACCTACCATGTAAGTAAAAAAAATCAAAGAATTATTTTTTTAATAGTTGCTCCCTTATCTTCATTTATAACTTTGAAGACTTAAATTCTACGTTTTATTTATGTTAATAATTTTATTTTTGTGTCCTTTATCGACTATACTTTAACACTTTATCTTTTGAGACGTTAATTTATCTCTCCTAACGTTTGAGAGCATGTAGCTTCTCACCAAAAATGTAATTTTCAGAGAATACTATTTCTTTATCAGTTTTCTTTGAAAAAATAAGCATATGTATAGCTTTAAACTTTGACTAGACTTCATGAAGGGCAAAATAAACTTTCATTATAGAAATGTAATTTTAAAAAGTTCTGCATAAACACTCTAAATACAAAACGAACCGGCAATCGGGATTTCAAAGCCCCATTTTAAATTTTAAATTAAAACTCCATACACGTCAGTGTCAGTTGAAATAGGGAAAATAATTTTTAGGTTTTAGAGCAATTACAGAGTTCATTTATGTTGTTTAAATATATTTCCATCACTCTATCTTTCACTCTACAGTAAAATAACCGGCTGTGGTAAAATAACTGGTAGCAGTCAGTCCATCCAATTAACCATAAAGTTTCTGGTTAGGAACAATTTTTGCTTTACGATTTGGAGACAGTTTAAAACTGATGCGGTTAAAAAACACAAAGCTATACGGTTCTGATACCATTTACAAGCAGCAAGGCTTTTAAACCATAAAATTAGACTTAAACAGACAGTGGAGCTCTGTGGATGCTCCTCTAGTTATGTATGAATGATAGTTTCGTATGCTTTTAGTTCAGGGCAATAGATTGTAGAGTGCAGGACACTGAATACTCTTCACGTATTGAAAGAATTATTGTATTATCAACAATGGGATTAGAACCACTCTAAAACCGGTCATGAGATTTGTCGATTAATCTTCTCAGCTACAGTGCGTATCTATCTCCACGGAACAACATGGCTTTATAACGTGGGGCAGGGGTTCAAATCCAAGTGTTGTTTTCACAATATTTCTTCCATTCCCTTAATACATAAAGATTTTACAGTGCCCTACATTCTTTAATCGGTGGCTCTGGTCTATTAGAATACGGAACTACCATTCATCCATGAAAGGTGCGGCACCCACAGAGCTTTAATGTAAGTTTAATTTTTATTTTTAGGGTTTAGAATCTCTGCTAGTTGTAAATCGTTACAAAACCACAAAGTTTTGTATTCATGATTTTTAATCGTACCAGTAGTAAACGGTTTCAAAACTATAACAGTAAAGAGTGTTCCTAACTATAAACGTTACGGTTAATCAGATAAACAGGCTGTTGCTGATTATTTTGCCGTAATTCAAGAATGAAAATTCTAACAGTTTATCTTTCAACTCATTTTGATCATTTTTCCAAACACTTGACCACTTAACTTTCAAATTGTAAAATTGGGAGAGAATACTATTTAATTTAAGTATTTATACATTCAATCAACTTTTCATTCACTTAGTTTCTGAAATATTCAAACATTATAAGCATTATAGTAAAATAAATTTTATGTTCCAGTACAAATTGGAATCTTTTGGTGAAAAAAGAGAAACAGCAAAAAGAACTACTCCGTATTTAGGTAATGTATCTTTCACTTAGAATTGAAAATATTCTTATTATTTGTTCATAGTTAAATTACTTAACTAAATTCGCAAATTGTTAAATTGCGCAATTAAATAAGAAATTTTCGATCTAAACTAATGGTTTTAAACCTTTTCACCGAAAGATCTTATCACAAAAAAAGTTTATAAGTGAAATTGAATGAAATGAGACTGGACTGATTGTGTTTTTAGTAATAAAGTACGTTTTCATTTTAATTCAAACATTATAAAGTATTATAGACTACGCTAATTCTTCATTAATAATTTTAAAATATTATGAGAAAAATGTATATAAAGCAATATTTGCAGCTATCAACTTTAAACTATTATGTTAACTAGGTTATTATAAAGTCTGAAGTCACATTGTTTGATGTAATTTTCTGTTACGAAGCGGATATTGCGGTCAACTTTCTAAATAACGACAAATAAAATTTTTTTTATTCCTAATTCTAATCGCATAAATAAGCAATATTATTTCTAAAGGGTAATTAATATGGAGATGATAATAGGAACTGAGTATACTTTCAGAAATAAAACTCTTACTTTTGACTATCCAGCAATTCTTGAGCAGTATTTCGTTAATTTTGAGAAACATTTCGTCACGAAATCACGTGATTTATGACGAAACGCAAACACTCAAGTGTATGACGAAAATGCTTCCTCAATTCAAAACCTCTTCTTAGAGCATTGTGGAAGGTTGTTCACCGGAATGATGAAACTAGAATAAAGACTAGACAATCGAAATAAACTTACGAATTCCGGCGATCGGTGGTTTAAAAGTTGGTTTTGTACTAGGAAGATCTAAAGTTCGAATCTCTCATCGGGCATGGCTACAATTTATCTGTCTGTCCTTGTTGTGTCTTGCCATCTATATGGTTCCAACGTTAAAGCGAATGTTTAAAAAAAGTTAGATACATTAAGCACTACTATTTTTTGGAACGAAATAAAATGGCGAAATATTTCTGTAAGTTGGACGAAATTCGTTTCCTTAAGGAAGTGACGTTAGTAATTTCGTCATATTGACGAAATTTTCGCTCGGAGGTACCAGGAAAGGGTTTTGTCAAAAACTAAGAATGTTTCGTAATAATCGAGTATCTATTTATTACAGTGTATCGAATAATTATGTTGATAAAAACTATTTGTGATCAGGTTTAATAAAAAAAAAATAGGTCAAGTCATCGATGGTCCAGAAAATGGTACTCCTCCTAGCCCATGGGACATTCCAGTCACTATTCCAGGATTGTTCATGGACAACAAAAGAACATTCGAAGTTCCTCACACAGCATACGTAAAAGATTGTTGGAATTGCGTTGGCAATTGCAAGATACGATGCGACGTTTGCAACGGAATCGGGGGAGTAAGTGGAATCTTTAAATTCCTAAAATTAGTTTAAACTCAGTATTTCAGAAAAAAGAGTGTGTTTTAGGCATCAGAGATCAGAAATTTAAATGAAGTACTATGAAATTTTTAATGACGCATTTGAGTTGAAGTCTGTATAGTTATATATTTTTTAGTTTAATTAAAGGATAATTCATTTTATATTTTCTAGGTACATTTTTTCCTTTTAAAATTGACTGTTACAATCTCTGCTGTCTATAAATAGCAACAAAAAATATACTTTCCCTTTTAAAATGAGTGTTACAATCTTTGCTACTTATAAATCGAAATAAAAATATACTTTCCTATTTTTGATAACTACTATCTATTTCTGCTATCTATAAATAGCAGCAAAAATATTTTTTCCCTTTGAAAATGACTGTTACATTCACTGCTATCAAAACAATAGTAATAGTAACAAAAAATCTACTTTCCCTTTTAAAATCACTGTTAAAATCTCTGCTCTCTATAAATAGCAACAAAAAATATACTTTCCCTTTCAAAATAATTGTTACTATCTCATTGTTACTATTAATATCAAGAAAAAGAAACACAGAAAAAAACTATGTCATTTCTTGAACCGAATCTGTAAACTGAAAAGCTGAATGAATTACATTAACGCCTTTTCACTTTTTGTATGACGTTTGTGTATTGTAAGCATGTGTAGCAACATTGAATTTTCATGATTATCCCCATGCGATTTTTTAAAAAAAACATTCACACACACATTTCCCAAGCGAGAATTTGGTAGTGTAAAAACGGTCTTATTTTCATAGCTACACTTAATGTTCGTAGAATGTGCTGCTTAAACACACATTTTATACATGACATTTTATATTAGCAGTGGTGGAATATTACTTATTTTCTAAAAATGTAGAGAGACATATATAAATGTGGTACCGTGTCTTGCAACAAATAAATAAATTCAATACGCTCATTTAAAGAAAAAAAAAGGAAAATTGCTTACTTATATTACATACATTACTTACAATGCGACAATGATTATTTTGGTACCAACATTTCAAAAATAATTATTTCAGTATGAATTGAACTTAAATATTTTTTAACAAATAATCCATTTTTGTACCCTCCATGGCATTTTGCTTTCATAACGATATTTCGCGGACATATAAATTCTGACTAAAACTAACTGTGCTGTTTCGTACAGACATTTATGAAGAAAAAAAACATATTTGGGTACTAGCATTTCAAAAAGAAGAAAATCACAGATACCCACACATGTGACTTATGACGGCAGCTTTAGCTGATCGCTCATAAGCAAAATGGCGTATTAAAGTTGAGCCACATAAGTTAGAATGTTAATTAATTTGAAATTAATTAAATGCAGCACGATATCGTACATCATATTTGTTGAAATATAACTTTTTCTTGTCAACATATTTAACTTAGATTTATTATCTGAGTATTGTATAGTAACCGTGATATATTTTTGTTTTGTGGGGCAACTTCGATGCATAATTAGTTAGTTTATGTCCTACGAGGCTTCATGCCTCTCTTTGTGTTAAGTGAAAAATATATAGTGAAAGAATTGATATCTCTGTGAAAGAATCTTTGTGTAAGAATATAGAATATATCACTTAAGGGAATTGATACTTGAGGGGCTTGATTTACTGGAAACAAAATGGACAGAACAGTTTCTAGCGTAAACAAATGCCACGTTTCAGCAACCAATCAGGATACAGAGACGTCATTTGCAGGTATCCCATTCTGGTTAATAAATCAAAATATTCGNAAAAAAAATTAAATTTACCAAGATATTTAAATGACACTTGCTGATTATTTTTAGAATAATAAGATTAAACTATAGTGAAAATTTCATATAAATAGGTTAAAAATCAAAAAAGTTAAAAATGATAGCCCTGTGTTACCTTAAAGCAGTTTACGGTAGATTTTCAAAGCATGAAGATACTACACATGAAGACTGACAATGCAGGCTGTTATTCTGGCAATATATGCGGCGAAAGCCGGTATCTGATGGCGAACTTGGGAATAAAAATACTTAGGCATGACTAAAATGAACCCCAGAGTTGTAAAGATCAAGCTGATCGAGAGAATGCAATTGCTAAAATGTTTATTAGAACATATTTATGTGATGGTCATGATGTAACATCAGCTAAAGACGTGTATGATACACTCATTTTTAAAGGAAGAATGAAAAAGACTAAAGTATCAGTTATAGAAATCAATAAAGAAAAGGCTCAGTCGAAAGTGTTAAGGTACATGAAATACAGTCATACCATTCTGTTAAATTTGAATCTAATGATATATATGAATTATGAATCTAATGATATTTATGAAACATGAATCGAATGATATTTGAATCTAACAATATAAAACTTGAATCTAACGGTAGATCAAAATATTTTGAAATTGGTCCAGGAAAAAGAGTTCCTTATAACAACATAAAATTTAATTGTAGCATTCAAACAGTAATCCGATTCAGCACAAAACAAAAGTTAGACAAAAATCAAAATCATAAATCGATTTCTCTTAGCCGTAAGTCTGTTAACTTCATATTTTGTTCTGAAGACAACTGTACTTTTACATTTGAAACTGCAGATGAATTGTCTTTGCATATAGCAAGAGGAGAACATCTATTCCAGAATCACTATCAGGAGAGGACAAAGCTAAAAAATGTCTGTTAAAAAAAATTAAGACAGTAACAAAAAAAAAAAAAAAAANAAAAAAAAAAAAAAAAAAAAAAAAAAAAAAAAAAAAAAAAAAAAAAAAAAAAAAAAAGAGGCTTCCAAACTATTAATTTTTTTTCTTTTAATTGCTGGCACATCTAATAGAAATGAAAACTTCTCAACTATCGTATCACAACTGGGATCGGCACTGAAACCAAAAAGAAAAATCACGCATCTGAATCAAAATCAAAAACAGTTTCTACAGCAATGTTTTTATAAAGGAGATGAAACAGGTAATAAAATTCACTGCACAGAATCTTGTCAAGATGATGAGGCGTGTTACAGTAGATGCAAAGAAAACATTTTGCCCAGAAGAATATCTTACGAATGAACAAGTGATTTCTTTTTTCAGCAGAATAAAAGGAAAAGGTATAGATTTTGATACTGTGAAAGAAGATGAAAATGAATATGAAGGCCATCTTTTAGTAGTTGCAACGGAAGAAAATGAGGTATGTTATGTTTTTCATTTCTTTTATTTAATGTTTTCAACAGTTAACAATTTCTTAAAAAATATAATATAGCATTTCAATAAATTTTGGGATTTTCAGAGAGAATATTAGGCATAATATCAAAATTTTTGAAGAAAAGGACAGTGAACTTCATCCTCATTCATTTTATGCAGTAATGTATGACAGAGGATTTCACAGAGGAGAAATTCTAGAAGACTGTGGAAATGATTTATTCAAGATGAAATTTCTACGCCAGAGAGAAGCTTAAAAGTTTAAATGGCCGATAATGGTCGATGTGTGATAACATTGACACTGCACATCGAAGCGCCATCTTCTTTGGTCTTATACAACTGTTATACAAGGAACTATTAAATAAATAATTCACATGTATTTTGTAACTACAAAACAAATGTTTTACAGCATTACCGTTATGTATTTCAGTTTTATACAAATTGTAAGTGTCAATGATAATAAAATATTATTTTAAATGGATAACCAACAAGATTATATACAATAAATTGTTAAAAATATCGGTTTTTATGGTGACATGTATATAGAAAGTAAAGTGTTTGAGCAAATTGCTTCGAGAAAGAAAATACCAAAACATGGTATGTTAAAAAATTTTTTAAATTTTTTTAAAGCTACATGCCTCAATAAATTTTACTTCTTAGGATAGACAAATAATGGAGTAAATTAAAGGTAAAAAAATTATTTCAATATATTTATGCCGCAAAAAGTTATGACAGTTAAAATATAGGTAAAATTTGAAAATTTTGAAGTTTCAACTTCAAATAATTAAGAGCGCATTAAATATGCCTCAATTATATAAATAATTTTTTAAAGTATTTTTGTATATCTTTCAAATGACATATTATTTACTGTGGTAACTAGAAGGCGCAAGCTGTAGTTAGTCGTTGAAAATTGAAAAAAACAGCAAAAACGCTTCTTTTTACGACCTTCAGGGACCTTGTGGCAACAACTTGCCACAAACTTTTCACCCATTTTACAAAGTTCAACCTCCTTACTTTTCAGATATTTAAATTACTTGGAGGCACTTTGTTTGCGCTAAGAGCTGTGGATCATTGCAATTTCTATGTAGTGCATAGACGCTGAAATTTTCCTGCAACGCTCTGAACTTTGGGGGTCCATAAAAAATTAACAACTCAACTTTGGGACAAAAAATTTTAGATTTTGTCTTTTGAATATAACAACTGGTAATTTTTTGAAGAAAATCTGAGATGGCGTGTATTTCAAGTGTGTCACATGAATCATCCCATAATGTTAGCTGTGACAGTTTCTCAGATTCTTGCTCTTAAATGGGCTTAGTTGGTGCGAGAAAATTTTGGTTGTTTAATTGTATTAGATGAAAACAGTTAGTAAACGGTTTTTGCCACGGTTAATTTTTTGAATACTCTCATATCTATGGTTATTTGACTGCTTTCTTTGAATATGGTAAAACAACATTTAAATAAAGTGTTATTTAACCATTTATTCTGACTGATTTCTTACAGTGCGTAGGAAATAAAAAGATATATATTTTTTTTAAAATTTATTCCGAATTTAAAATTTTGATAGTTATTTAGAGAGTCCCTTTACATTTTTGATAAAATATTTTACTCAATAAATGAACAGAATAATTTTGCCTTTGGTAAGTAGGAAGATGTGGGTTCTAAACGTTGCATTATTCAAGAGTATTTCAGCTCAATTAACAAAATATTTTGCTTGATATAGGCCAAAATTATTAGTGGCCATCGGCCATCGGGCGACTAAATATAAGAAGAAGCGATTCAAAAATTCTCTACCAGACGACACCTGATCATCGCTTTTTTAATAAAAAAAAATGTACCTCATGTACATTTTATCAAGTTGTTTACTAAATGTGGAATTCTTAAGAATATTTTCTGATATTATGAAAACCACTTTACATCACACTTGCTTAATTTTTAAAATCATATGTGATAACTTTATGCGAAATTATTATGTGAAAGTTTAATGTGACAGTGATAATTTATATTGTTTTGCTTTCAAATGGAATTCTGAATTATTTTGCGATAGTTTTATAGTTCTAATAACTTTAAGATTTATGTAAATTAAATATTATTTGTCAAAAATATAGTTAAGTCAGATGCTTTTTGTTTATTTTGTCAGATAAAATTAACGATACTTGCTTTACATTGTTCACTGTTGAAAATTCCAGATCTAAATTTTTTCAGCGGTGGTAAACCACAATGTAGTACATCTGAAACTTGAAAGGGAACTTACCCTGATTGATCAACTTATTAGGGTACAAAGCAATAACATTATGGTTTAACGTTGAACTATTTTCAGGCGGGAGGAGTTGAGTTGATAAACGCTTCTCTACGAACATAATAATATTGGGGAAGCAACTAACTTCCCATTGCATTTTTTATTTATTCATTTTTTAAACTTAAAGTGTGGGAACATTTGATTCTCCCTGCCAGTTCCCACCGTTATCATTTGAAGCGGAATTGCACAAAAGTTGGTTCATTCGCACAACTAGACACCTGAATGTTGTGCGACATTGAAATCCAAAATTTCCATTTTGAAACTTGGCATATCAGTCAGTAGCGGTTTTTTTAATCTATGGCATTTTCCCCACTGACCACAATTGTCACGAGCAGCTTTAACAGGTTTAGAACTTTGATTTTCTTTATTTAATAATCGTCGTTGAACAACCGACCTAATTTTTATGGTTTACGACTACTAATGTTCAACTGCGTAGCCTTGTAATTTTGAAGGGAGAAATTTGCCTTCGTGGAGGACTGTTTGATGGAACTAACCCGCATTTGCGTTGCACGGAGAGAAAAACCACAGAAACCTTTGAAAGTTAGCATGACGGAAAGAGGACTCGAACCCATGCTCCATTTTACCTACAGCACTGTGGTCGGTGCCAGCCGGGTACGGAATTCGTATCGACCAGCAATGACTGGGATTCGAAACTAGTTCACCTCATTGGAAGGCAAACGCTCCCCTCTGAGACACTTTGATTAAAAGCACTGATTAAGAGATTAAGTTTTCACAGAACTTTGATTAAAAGCAAGGAAAATAGGTCGAAAATTCTCAAATTTTTCTCAACTTGACATTCCAATTTAATGATTTAAAAATTAACATTAATTTACGCCACTTATAAATAAAACATTGATTCCGGTGAAACAAAACATTTTTTTAGTGATATAAAACATTAGTACAAAACCATATTCTGAAATGTGGAATGTTAAAATTTAAAGAAAAATTTGGGAGAACTTAGTTTCTAACCCAATACTTAGGCATATTTAAAACACATTTTTTTCAAATTATATGTAGTTAAATTTTTAAAAAAATTATTGTTAGGTGCAGCAATTGTATAGGTACTGGGCAAGTGAAGTGCCATACTTGTAAAGGCAAAGGGAAGCTGAAACATTTCCTCATGTTAATTGTTACTTGGTATGATTTTATATTTTAATTTGCCTTTACACTGTCATTGATTTTATTGTTTTCTCATCATTTTTAATTTTCTTATATGTTATTCGATCTTTTTGAATTGAGAAATGTAATGAATTGAAAATGTTTACTCTAATCCATGCCAGAAAATAATCAAGCAATAACTGTACCTGATCAGTCGCCAATCACTAATCGGGCAGTGCTTTAAATAATTAATTTTAAATTGTTGCACGCTCTTAGAAATATATCTCTTACTTTTGACGATTCAGCAATCTTTGATCTGAATTTCATTAAATTTGAGAATAATTTCGTTACGAAATCACGTGATTTGTGGCGAAACGCGAACTCTCAAATATATGAGAAAATGCTTCCTCAACTTGAAAGCTCTTAATAGTTCATTGTGGGAAATTGTCAACTAGAATGGCGAAACTAGAATGTAGACTAGACAATCGAAAATAAAGTGGCGAATCAAGCAGACTGGTTGTATGGTGGTCAAGGGGTTGTCTTTGTACCAGAAGGATCCCGGAATCGAATCCCGCTCCCGGCATGGATGTAATTTATGTCTCTAATCTAACTGTTCTTGTGTTGACAAACACTGTTAGTAAGAAAAGAGAACTGATGGTTGCGAAAATTTGATATTATTTGAATAAGAAGATACGAGCAAATAAAGATTTCTGTCACTTTTTTGGTTCCATCGATTATATTTTGAAGAAAATTAAGCTTTGATAAATCAAATAGGTTCTGATTGTGAGATATTACACAGTGAACATGAACGGAAAAATGGGTATTGAGTGGTTGAATCAAAAATTCAGAATTAACTTTTATGGACATAAACTGTTCTTTCCCCCTTAATCTTCATACAGTTTTCATTTAGATGATTTTGGTAAATGATGTTACACACAAAATAGATCTTCAATTTTTTTAGTATAATTTTCAAAGTGTTGATATAAAATGGATTTTATTGCAAGAGATTTATTTAAATGGTGTATGTTGTTGAAAAAAAATGAAATACTTGTATTTTGAAAATTTAATAAAATGAACAATTTTTCTGCGGTTTTAGAATTGTTCTTGCTTAGCTACTTTGATATAGACACTAAAAGCGTTGATTTTCACATTCTATTCTAAGTTTCATTTTCATAGAAAAGATAGAAAAGATAATAGACATTTATAACATAGTCATTTCATAGACATAGACATTAACATAGACAAGATTATAGACATTCCATAGAAAAGATAATAGACATTTATAACTAATAGAAGAATAAGAACTTTGTTCGCTTTGTTTAAAATATTTTTGTTTTATTTATTGGTAATCAAAGAATTGCTTTAAAATATAATTTTATTGTTCAGTTGTCAAAATTTAAATTTGTTTTGAAATTTTTTTTGAAAAGAACACTTTTTTTAATAACCAAAGATAAATATTTTTGTTTTAATTTTTGCATTTTGATTTTTAGTTGTAATTTGATTTGAAGTATATAAGTATCTAGGATATTTCTAGAAATAAAAAAAATTACTTTACTGGTTAGTTTGTATTTCCTCGATTGAGAGTTATGAGTTCAAAGTAACTTTACCTAAGGCTTACAAGATGATTTTTTTTCGAGTTATTTTCTTTCTAATATCATATATGGGTGCGGGGATTGTATAAAAGAAAAATTTTAAGCTAACCATTCTGCAATCAAATTGTATTATTTTGAATTTTAACAACTTTTATCAATGCACTTAAATTTTTATAAGATTATTTACTTAATACAAAATAGTTGTTACATTTATGTGACATGTTAGTAATTGAAATTTCTAAATTGATATAATATTCAATATTTAAGGAAAAACCATGCAAGTGATTTTATTTCGGATACTTCAAAGTTACCTAAAGAGCTGATTTTAGAAGTTAGCGGAAGAGAGTTATTTAAAGAGCAACAGACAAAAGTATGTTTTAGATTATTATTTTATTATTGTAATTTTAATGTAATGCAAAAATAATGTTAAAAATAATATAAATAACAATGAAGTTAAAAGCTACAACAAAGATCTAAAAATTTTAAACGATTGCACTACCATAGCTTTTCAACTTAAAAATACCTAGAACAAAAAATGGCTTACAATTTTATACTAATTCTTGTATTTCTATACCTCTTTTTTAGGTTTATCCTGTCAACCATTGTCCAGACCCTGCTGTAAACCAAGCGTCACAGACGTTACTAATGCAGCACCAATGTTCTTTTCCCAATGAGCTTATTCGAATGCAGGTAAAACATTATTATATTTAATAAACATGGTGTTTTGCGTCCTTCATTTTTAGAATTAGAATTTTAGAATCTTTATCAAAACCGAAACAAGAGATCGCGATTATAAAAGCTAGGAATCGCGAAGAATATATAGTGTTTAAAAAAACATTATCAAAATATGATGAATAATTATCGAAGAAGTCGGAATTGATAATACCTGAAAGTTTGATTTTCAGATACAACTTCAATGTGTTTCTACCAATTACTTTTCATATCCTCTTAGTTTTGAGCAATTATAGATGTTTTGATGTTTTCGATCCCGCCCATCTTCCCTTAAGCCTAACGTAATAAAAGAATATTTTATTGTAAAATTTATTGTTGATGGCGTATAAATAAAAGGAAATTTATAATTCGTTTCTGACGAATGAGATATAGGTTAAGGTCTGTACATACAAGGTCTATATGGTTTTATAACCTGGTAGAGCTTCAATAGGTTAAAGAAAATAAACTTTTTCACAAACTTTTTTAATGATCAAAAGAATATTTTATTGCAAAATGGCGTATTAAAAGAATATTTTATTGTAAAATTTGTCGTTTATGGCGATTAAAATTTTTCTTTTGATTACAGAAACAAACTTTGAGAGCGGTTCCTTTAACCATTGCAAATTATTCTTGGAAAGATCGAGAAGGTGAATTCTATGTGTTTGGATTCCAGAACAAAGTATATTTTGAAAAATATCCGCAGAAATGCTGCTGCTGTACTTGTTTCTAATTTAATAGAATTATGTATGTACATAAACAATGTTTCTTAGCTATAAAGAAACTTAAACAATAGGTACTAGACTTTGAAAAAAATATTTTTCTTAATAAATAAAATCGAAATAATAAATAAAATTACCGATATTACTTTCATCAAGAACAAGTTTTTACTTTGATGGAATTAATAATTTCATTAAAGTCAGCTTCAGTAAAAAAATTTCAGCACTGCTATGATGCTGCCCTCTATATTAATGAATAGGAAATTAAAGCAACTGACAAATAGAAAATTTACTTTTCAATAATTACTATAAATGAATAAAATAAAATTAAAAAATAACTTTCTTCATCAATTTTGAGTATTTTTTTGTTATAAAATTCGAATATTTTATATCCCAATTTTTGTTGTGATGGTTTATAAAGTAATTTTTTTTTTAAAAAAAAAGGTTGAAACATAAGTAACTGCATTCAACTCACACTAATAGTACAATGCATTAAAAAAATTTTGCATGCATATTTAAATATTGAATGTCTCATTAATGATCCTAAATTAAAAAAAAATCTAAACGGAATGTAATGAAATTATAATCAATATAAATAATATTATTTTCATAACTAATTTTCTTTAATTACTTTATACATTAACAACGAATAAATTTATAATGAAACAATTCAATTACTAGTTTACTGGTTTAGCCCTTTTAAGGTATTGAATGATTTATATACTTTTCAATATCATAATAATTTGATGAATACGTAATGAGTAAATATTTTATAATATTTCTGGCATTAAAAAATGTAAGAATATGCAATAACATAAAATTTACAAAACAAATATTATAATTATACTTATAGTAAAGCAGAAAAAAATATTTTTATTGAAATACTAAAACAAATGAGTAATTTTCTATAAAACAGGGGAATTAAAATGGCATGTATCTAAAATGATACTAATGGGTGTGATAAAATTTTGTATGAAATTTCCAATGATCCAAGCGAAACCAGATATTTAAAAATTTTATTTTAGAATTTAGCTGAAATGCACGAAATGTAAAAATATGCAATATAAAAATTTCTTGGAACTAGGTGCATTTTGAAATCAATCGTTAAAATACTTCTTTTTACCCTAACCAATACACCACAAATATTATCATATGTGTTTTCATGTTAAAATCTAACAACATGTGCATCAGTGTTTCAATGTATCATCACATGTTACAACTGTAAAATGTTTCACAACATGTGTACAGAAAAAAGTTTGATAGCTGCAAAAATTCCTTAGATTTTTTTTAATTATCTTAATATGATGTTTCTAAGATATGATCTTTAGAATATGATATTTTGACTGTTCATAAAACAATTTTGATCAGTTTTAATATGTCTATTTGGTTTCAATTGTAAGTTTTTGAGTTTGTAATGTTGAATTGTAAGTTTAAACCACGAACATAGTATAGAAAATAAAATAATTATAAAAAAGTATTGAATGTTTTTTCATTGTGTCTCGTAATTTTAAGTGTTCTACCATTGCGTCTTATAGTTTTAAGTATTTCGTTATCTCGTAAAGAAATCGATTCTTTAGTTAATTATGATATTAAATTTACAAATAGCATGATGCTAGATAATGTTTGCTTAGTTTTCGTTAGTCTCTCTGTAATATATATAGAGAAATCTCTCATAAAATATTAAGCATATTTCAGTATTATTCTCATATAATATTGAAATCGATTTATTAGTAAATTATGTAATAAATTTTGTTGAATAGAATAAAATTGCATAATGATTCGGTACTTAGATTTACTTAGATTAAGCTTTGTAATAGATATACGCTTTCTCTCTATTAAATAGATCAAAAATTTGCACAATATTTTTCATGAATTCAGAAAACAAAAAAAAAAATTGTATAACATTTTTAGTCCCTAACATTGGACTAAATGTAAGAGGATTTTAATAATTTGCTAGAAATAAGATATACTTAAGATTCATGTAGTATGGCAAAAAATTCATTTTTAAATTACGGTAAAAACTACAGGCATTCAGGGTGCCAGAAGTTTATAACGTAAAAACTATTTTAGCGCAAAATTTTACTGAACAAAAAAAACTATATACCGTAATTTTAAAACAGAACAGCAATATTTACTGAAAAATCACTGAATCACTGTAGTTAAATAAATATTTCTATAAAATAACGGTGTGAAAGCGGATTTTACGGATGCTGCACCGTAAAATCCAACCGTTTTTACCGTAGTTGGATCTAGAATTTCTTACAATGTAATATTAGAAATTGTTTTTTCATACATTGCAAGTAAAAAGTGTTGATAACTTTTCTTCTGTTACTTGACTTATGCAAGCATTATTCCAAAGATGATAGGTTACATTTGCTGTTTATGATATTTAGTGACATTTTCGAAAAAGGTGAAGTAATAAATTTACAAACAAGTTTTACCTATTTGTTTAAGATGTTTTTAAACTTAACTTTTAATTTCAGCTCTATTTTTCCGAACAGGTTACTTAAAAAGGAATTTTCTAATTTAACTTAAACTTAAAAGTTTTTAATTTAACTGCTTTTTTTTCATTCTGAAAAATAAACTTAATGCTTATTTTTTTTAAATTCCTTAAAATGCCAATTAAAATCCTCTCTTCAGCACTTAAATTACAATTACCTCGGACTAAATATAGATTATTTTTTATGCAGAAAGTAATATTTCAAACAATTCAGAAGTTTTGTGGGAATACATTAGACGTTTAACTATTAATAAAATTTTTAAGTGAACGCTTGCTGCCATGCTCGTCAAAATTCTCTCTCTCTCTCTGTCTTTCCCTCTCTCTCTGTCTTTCTCTCTCTCTCTCTCTCTTTATGTTATAAATTTTTTTAAGGTCGCAGGTACAATCTGATGGCGTTGTACTCCGTGGATAAATTTTATTTTCTTTTAAACTTGTTCTTTTCTTTTAAATCAATTAGTTTATTCAATTTGGATAAAACCTATTTTTTATAGACGAAAAATTGAGTTTTTTTATTGTTGATAAAACCTACTTTTTTGTAGCTTGTACCAAGTATCAATAATCATGTTATTCATAAATTTAATATCAAGTATCAATAATCATGTTATTCATAAATTTAGTATCAAGTATCAATAATCATGTTATTCATAAATTTGGTATCAATAAGTATCAATAATCATGTTATTCATAAATTTAGTGTCAAGTATCAATATTTATGTTATTCATAAATTTAGCATCAATAATCATGTTAATCATAAATTTAGTAGTATTATTTTATTGGGATATTTCACATATTTATAGCTTTTTTAAGAACATAGTATATACAATTTCTGAGAGGTCTAGTTCACATACTTTTACTAACTGTAACTGCGGCACATACCTTGTAGCAGTCTAAGGTACAATGCAGACTGGGCCGAGGTACAGTTACCATTTTAAAAAGTGATAATTTTTAGTAAACAGAGGTAGTTTTTTACCTCATTTCCGATTTCAAAATGTAAGTCTAAACCGAAAAAGAGTAGAGAGCATATCGAAAAATATGTATTATTACTCATCAACTAAAAATTAAAAAAAAAAAGCTTCAAGCGCACAGATATGGGTATTCTCAAATCGTTACCAAAATAGCAGATAGTACCTATCGTTATAAATACCAACTACAAATGCTGTGTGCAAAAGTTCATAACATCGATTGAAAGTTAAACATTGATCCTAGGTACATGCAGTTCAAGATGCTACACTCTTCTTTAAATACGGCAGAAGTTAACATAAAAGTCGTGAATGCATTTCGTTGTTCTTCAATACTCGATGGATAAAATGATAATAAATTAGTCATAAAATTGATAGACAAATTATAAGGGAGTGAAAGGAATCGCAAAGCTCAAGTTCAAGTTATACGCTAATGGAACGAAGATATATTTCACCTAATTGGAATCGAAACATGCCATGAAATTCACGCTGTCGGGAGAAATGGTCAAGTAAACGGTTGAATTCAATAACCCAAATGATTTATAACTGTGCGTGATATGCAAACTGATAAGCTGGCAACTGTACCAATGAATGAATGTCTACTTGGGATTCAGGTCCAGGTCTTAGCTTTCGGTAGGGAGAACATTAAACAAATGCGAAAGAAACTTGAAATTAATATTCCTTTAAAGCTACTTAAATGTCTTTTCGTAAAATATGGTACAACAACTAAGCAATAATTTACTGGAACAAACGGAATGTTTTTCTTTGAGCTTTAAAGGTAAATGGTAGTTTAAGAACATGTGTGTGTGTCAAATTGACAAATAAATAGGTAACAATATAAATAATGTGTTTGCGTAACTTTGTTGTTGTTTCAGGCATTTTGTTCAGTAGATTATAAATAAAAGAAACCAAAGTTTGCTTTCTTTAGAAAATTTAAAGGAAAAACATGGATTTTGTGTTACATTTTTAATTAAATAAATCTATATAATAAAATTACATTAATATTACATAATTACATAAAGAGACATTATTTAATTTTCTTTCTGCTTTGTTTTTACAGGAATTTTAAACAATACAAGAGCGAATGTAGATTTTAAAAAAAGTGGATAATATTAAATAAATATGCAACATCATGACGTAAGTAATTAAACAAAAACAGCGTGGTATATTAAACATGTAATCCATATCCAAAATGATAGAGTACATTTTACGCTTTTTAAACTAAAGTGTAAAACAGCATGGTATATTAAACATGTAATCCATCTCCAAACTGATGGAGTATATTTTACACTTTTTGGACTAAAGTGTAAAACAGCATGGTATATTAAACATGTAATCCATCTCCAAAATGATGGAGTATATTTTGTGCTACTTAGGCTAAAGTGTAAAACAGCGTGGTTTATTAAACATGCAATCCATAACCGAAATGATGGAGTATATTTTGTGCTACTTAGGCTAAAATGTAAAACAGCGTGGTTTATTAAACATGTAATCCATATCCAAAATGATGGAGTATATTTTACGCTATTTAGACTAAAATGTAAAACAGCATGAATGAAGGACAAATCAAGTACAGAAATGGAAAAGCTATAGTTTCGGTTCTCTAAACAAGAGCCTCCATAGAGTCTGACGATTATTTATACACCGAGAAGGGTTATCGTGCAGAGAACCGAAACTATAGTATGTCCATTTGTGCACTTGATTTTGCTTTTTATTCACGCTTCTTTTTTTTTTTTTTTTTTTTTTTTTTTTTTTTTTTTTTTTTTTTTTTTTTTTTTTTTTTACACTTTTGTCAAATGAAATCCATTACAAATTTGAGTACTGAATATGGATTCATTATAAAAACATACAAAACAAACAAATTGTATGATGAGAAATTAGACTATTAAGATAAATATAATTTCTCGTTGTAACAGCTGCAATTTAACATTGAATTAAGAAATTCGTAACCTGTGACCCCAAGTAAAATTTCACACAATTTTTTAAACAAAAAGCGTACGCTCAAATACAGTTCATCTAAAGTTAAAGTGTTGCAGTAAAAAATAGATTTTGATTTTTTTAGGGCTTACTGTAGAGTTGTGGCAGATCAGTTCAATTTGGCAAAATCCAAGTTTTAGT